ACGAATTATATAGCCAAATCAGGTCTGGGGAGCCAGGATGGGGTCTTTGCATTGAAGGTGACAAATGTGTGTGTGTGTGTGTGTGTGTGTGTTTGTGTGTGTGTGTGTGTGTGTGAATGCATTAACGATTAACACAATTCATAGGAAAAGAAAGCCATTCATATCAACGATGTAATAGAACCATCTATTTTCTGCATTGCTCTAACCAAACTGCAAGATAAAATTAAGTTTGTTCTTAGCTAACTGCTCATAGTTTTCCTGGGGGAAACAAACCATAGGCCCAAGCACCTCCCAGGGACTCCTGCATCACACTGCAGAACATGGAAGGGAGTCCCTCAGAAGGTGGTAGACTCTTCATCCTTGGAACTTACAGGGAAGTTGCAAGGGTTCTATGTAGAGAATGTGTGTTAAGTACTTCAAACACTTGAAAGAACTGCAAATATTTCAAGAATCATTAAGAACCTGTCTTGAATGCAGAGCCATGGAGACCCTGTTCATTTCAGAGCGGATGCTATTTCTGTCATGTACCTAAAACAGAGTCAGCTTCCCGGTTGACGTCGTTTCTCTTCTCTTTCCTCCTCTGCCCCCACAGAAAACGTAACTTTGGATCCAGACACAGCACATCCCCGCCTCATCCTGTCTGAGGATCGAAAGAGTGTGAGAGATGGAGAAGTGCGTAGACGCCTGCCGAACAACCCTGAGAGATTTGACACACATGGCGATGTGCTGGGATGTGAGGGTTTCACATCAGGCAGACATTTCTGGGAGGTCATTGTGGGAAGAGAGGAGAGGTGGGGGGTGGGGGTGGCCAGAAAGTCTGTGAAGAGGAAGGGTGAGTTCTGTTACAATACTAGGGAAGGGATCTGGGGTTTGGGGAAGTGGGACGGTGGGTACAAGTTATGCTCCCCCCTTGATGCCCCTGTTCCAAGTGAGGAGCCAAGAAGATCCGAGTGACTCTGAACTGTGAAGGGGGACAGGTGTCCTTTTATGATGCTGATACAGCAGCCCTTCTCCACGCATATCCGGCAGCCCCCTTCTCAGGAGAGACCCTCCAGCCCTTGTTTTACGTTGGCAAGAAGGAGAACCTGATACTATGTTGACCGAGATGGAGACAGGCAAGCTTATATTCATTGGCATCATGGCACATTAAGGCTCCTCTTCAGGACTGAGCTGAAGGAGAAACCTTATTTGCAGAACTGTGATTGGCCATCCCTTGTGTCAATCATGATACAACTCTCCCTTCTTGGGCCAGTTTTGTAAATGACACTGATTGATTGGGTCCCCTGTCAGTCCCCAAACTTGCCTGTTCTCTCTCCCTTGGGAATCTGTTATTCGTGTCTGTGCAGAAGGTGCAAAAGGAGGAAAGAAGCAAGAAAATAATTTAGTAAACAACAGCAACCCCACACACATTCCAGTTTAGATGTAGTTCTCTCTCTTGACAAGTTTTCTACAGACAATACCATCATCTTTTCTGAATAAAACCAGAATTATGCACGAACATCACTTAAAACCTTCCTCAGCCTCAATCCTGTTCTCAGATTCCCTTTTCCTCCTCCAAGATCTCCACTGGCCAGGGAGATGGAAGTTCCAAAATCCATTTTTTTGCTACTCCTCAGGGAAGCTTATGTGGCAATTCAGCAAAATCTCCATATCCAAAGAGACCTGTTTGCTAGTTTGAGTACAGGCGGTCCAAAACTCATACACAACTTAACTTGCGTGATCACGGCCTGAAGCCCTTCGTCAAAACGAATTACTAAATAGAAAGAGGGTGAGTCCGGGAAAATCTCTTGCAAGGGACTGTATGAGATCTCACAAGGGGGGGGGGACTTTGGCAGTGGGGGGAAAGAGTTTCTAAGTCTACCTTGCTTTCTGGCCTCTAGAAAGGTTGCATAAAGCTCTCAAAATCTCTGGCTTCGAACAAGTAGGGATGATGAAGAAGAGGGGTTTGGACTTGATATCCCGCTTTATCACTACCCGAAGGAGTCTCAAAGCGGCCAACAATCTCCTTTCCCTTTCTCCCCCACAACAAACACCCTGTGAGGTGAGAGGCTGAGAGACTTCAGAGAAGTGTGACTAGCCCAAGGTCACCCAGCAGCTGCATGTGGAGGAGCGGGGAAGAGAACGCGGTTCACCAGATTATGAGTCCACCGCTCTTAACCACTACACCATGCTGGTTGTGTGGGGGGCATTTTTGAGGGTCTTCCTGACTTGTGCAATATTGCCTTTGCATGCTGACTCCAGGAATGTAACCCTCACATAGGTTTCAGGCCTCGATGGAACAAAATCCCCTCTGACAGTGAAGAGCCTCTGTCAGAAATTCTCAGGAAAGAAGAATGACAATCTAGAGGATTTCACATGGGGAGGGGGATTCCCATGTACAGTGGTACCTCGGGTTAAGAACTTAATTTGTTCTGGACTTCTGGGGTGGCGCCTCCGGCAATGGCTGCCTCCCTTCTGAACTGGAGGGACCAGCTCCGCGTGAAACGGGTCGTATCCGCTGCGGCGAAGAGGGGACCCTTTCAAAAATCACAGGCGGATGAAGCCTGTGACCATGGGACTCGGCGGGCACCTTTAGCACCCCCCAACCCACTAAGGAACCCACCAACGGGCTCCAAAGTGAAGAGGGGGAAGCGGCGCGGTGCTGAGAGTCATCAGCTATTTCCGTGGAGCGAAGCCGCATTGCTGTTGCCGGAGAGCGCTGCCTTTTCCTGGAACAATTGGGACTTTAAAACAACAACCCGTGAGTAGTACGGAAATTGGATCCTTTAAATATTTTTAAATTCGGCACTGATCGGGGAAGGTACAACCAGGAAGTCTGCCTCCCGTTTCTGTAAATATTTTAAAGCAAAGAACCTCCAACTAAGGTCGTGGAGAACTCTACTTTTTATAAAAGATTTTAATTCTACCGATTGAAATCACAAGGAAACTTACTTGGAAGCAGGGGAACCTGCGGGAGAAGAACTAAATTTAAAAACCGACGTGCCACCCCCCGCTGGACCCAGGAGTGGTCCGTGAGAGCCAGTTGAGGAGTAATTGAATAATTTGACAGCTGTCAAGTTAGCTGTCAAGATACAAAAAGAGGATTTTGTCTCTGCTGCTTATATTGGCTACAATGTAAGTATTGGTTACATTTTTATGTTTTAAAAGAAGGAAGGACTGCTACAATTTAACGTATGGAACTTTTGGTTTTGTGCTGAAAGGAGCAAAAAGAAGCTTAAATCCCCCTAGAGGGAGTTTTGGGACATTGCATTAAGAACCAGCTGAGAAATTGTTTTCTGGCCTTGATATGTTTAAGAATGGCACTGGGTAAAGAAATACAGTCTGAACTGAACAAGACTTTCTTTCTCTTGGGAAAGCTGCAAGATCAAATAGGTGTTTTGACTACAAATCTTACAACCTTGGGCACAAGAGCCAGTTCTAGCAATGAGCTTGATAAGAACTTGGTACAGGATTTCTACTTAGCTGAACAAACAGAGGAAATCGAGAAGGAGAATAATGCTGCCATTGAAGAGAAAAAAGGGGGGGACCCAACCCTGCAGATGCAAAAGGTGAGCTGTAACCTGAGGCCTGACACGATGGTAATAAGAAGAAACAAACCTTTGAAGATGGAAGCCTGGCCTGAATTGGAAAATGAAAAATGGAGAGATCTCCTTATCTGGAGATCATATGACACTTGGATTATAAATTTGATCCAGTTGGAAGTTAGAGCTATAGGGACATTTGGAATCTTAAGGAGAATGAAACAAGATGTGGAATACCCTATAGGCCTTACTTTCAAGTATGTAGGCCTGGCTGGAAGAAACTTGGGTGCTGCAGGGCGGGAGCCCCATTGAGATTTGGTCTTGAATATTAAAGACTATCAAAGAGACTGGCAGAGAGGTCAGGAGAGAGACTTAAGAGCCTCGGACATAAGGTCACCGGGTTGATGGTTTTATTTTGAGATCTGTTGGGACTGAAACTGGGAAGGGGGGTGGGTGGAATGAAAAATGGAAAGGGTACATGATATAAGTTGCTTTTTTGTTCAATCTTTTTTTTGTCTTATTTCTAGGAGAACTGGAAATTTGTGGAAGGGAACCTTCTTTCGACCTTAGGGAAATGTTTTAAGAATAAGCACCGTTATATAGATTTGGATGAGAATTAAGTTTGGATAAAGTTAAAAAGCGGGTTATATAAAGAAAAATATGGTAAAACTAAGGTTTTGGTGATAAGGGCTTGATGAACTAACAATTTGAACTGGAACATAAGGATTTGTTGAATTAAAAAGAAGCAGGTTAAAATTTATTGACAGGGATTTGCTGAATTAACAATTTGAATTGGAATACAAAAAAGGGAGGTAGGAGGAGGTCTGGGAAATAAGTTAATGGAAAATAAGTTATGGAAACTTTATGTGTTTTTAATTATTTTTATTTTTGTATTTTTGTTATTTTTTCTGTTTTTTATTTTTGATTTTTTCTTATTGTATTAATATTGAAAACTTTAATGAATATCTTGTTAAAAAAAAAAGAACTTAATTTGTTCTGGAGGTCCATTCTTAACCTGAAACTGTTCTTAACCTGAGGTACCACTTTAGCTAATGGGGCCTCCCACTGCTGCTTCACCACCGCCACACAATTTCTGTTCTTATCCTGAAGCAAAGTTCTTAACCCGAGGTACTATTTCTGATTTAGCGGAGTCTGTAACCCGAAGCATCTGTAACTCGAGATACCACTGTATACAATTATTTTCTCCAAGGTGCTTTGTAGTGAACAGTCAGATACTTGCCCGTATTTTTAGAGATCCCCTCTTCTTATCCTTTTGTATAATGGTCTTGTAAGAATTTGGGGATATGTTTCATGCGCTAATGTGTTTGATTCTATTAAAGATTGTACTTCTTGTTACTCCTATGTTGTTTCAAACTCAACAGTATAATATCCATTCCCCATGACACTTCCTCCAGGGATTTTAGGAGGGTGCCTGCGTCATCAGCTGGGTTGTGAGGAAAAGGGCCTTTTAAGAACCAAGTTCCCCCATTCAGCAGGTTTCCTGGAGCAAAACACGCAAGGTGGAGAAGAGAGAATTCTGGTGGATTCTGCTGAAATGCATGGGAGAAACTTCTGGGCTAGGATGGCTAGCGATCCTATACACCCTCTGGGTTGGTTTCAAGTATGTCCTACTCAGAGTAAGCCCATTTAAATGAATAAGCCAATGTTAGTCGTGCTTATTGACTTCAATGAGTCTGTTCTGAGCAGGACTTGAAATACTACCCGCTTTTGCCAGAATAAATGTTAATGAAAATGGGATTGAAGAGAGAATTCTGGAGGCTTTTATTGAACTGCAGGGGCTCCTTGGAGAGGGGTGGCGGGAGATTTATTAAACTGTTTTCTGATGTTTGTCTCCGCAACTTCTGCATGCATTCCAAGTCCTTTGGGCGAGTGAGACTCGGCCTTATCTGCCATGGCAGCCAGACAACTGAAGAACCGGGAACAGGGCCAAGGAGGGGGGCGCATAGCAGAAACATTTCTGACAGAGTCCCACTCCTCAAATGGGAAGAGGAAGTGAAGGCAGATTGTTTTCTTAATCTCTTCCGAAACCCCCTAGCCTCCATCCCATGTTCTCAGGGGCTGTGGATGGGTGTCCAATGGTCCCGTGGGAATGTGCATCACAGGGGAGGGTTGGGCTCCGGCTGCGATGCTCCTTGGAGTCTGAACTTTTGTGTCTTACAGCGGGAAAGGGGCTCCGAAAGCAACAACTTCAGAGCTGAAACCTCTCCATGGAGCGGGGAAAGGGTGCTGTTTAACACACACACTCCGCGTTTCCATACCCGGTCGCTAGGGGGCGGCGGTGCCTCGACGCCGCTTGGTATCCTCACCGAGGACTAGTGACTTGACCTGGAGGCAGGATCGACCAGGGCGTGGGGCCGGGACTTTGTGCCACGTCGCACCCTTCACTCGTGTTGACATTAGCTCCAGCCACGTAAGCCGTCGGCCCTGAATTCTCTCACGCCCCAACGTCCCCTGCGAAAGCGCCATTCATTCGTAAAGCAAAGGGAGCCGGGTGCCCGCGCGCAATAAATGTTGGAAAAGATGTCCAGCTTCCCTCTTGGCCTCCAGAGAACTCAGGAGTCCCGGATTCCACCCCACCCTCATGCCTATTTAGAGATCAGTGTAAATTCTGTTCATGCTGGACTTTCCTGCTTTTTACGCATGGGTTGCTACTAAGGGTGGGAGGGGCTTCAGATTCAAATTCATTCACTGACTTTCGAATGAGTGAGGCTGACATGAAGCTCATAAAAAAAACTCGCTTCCTCCACTTCTCCTTGGAAAACGGCTCCTTAAATCGGCAGCCAGGAATTATACCCTTCCTTTTAAAAAATATAAATTCCCATGGCGGGAAGACTCTGTCTCCCATTTAACCCAACTCTTCGGGCAGCAGTGATCTCGAGCTATAGCACCTGAATTTCCTGGAAAGGAAACACGCCCATTTGCAGACGCAAAAGAGAGAAAACGAAACCAGCTCTCTCTTCCGGGCGAGGCAGCAGCCAAGGCTGCTTCTGGGGGTCCCGAGCAGGATCTCTGCGAGGAAGTCACTTGCCCCATCTGCCTGGAGTGTTTCAGGGATCCGGTGATCATCCCGGAGTGCGGGCACAACTTCTGCCGATCCTGCCTGATCCAGTGCTGGGGGGAATCCGAGGGAGAGGCTTCCTGCCCTCAGTGCAGGGAAATCATTCAGCACAGGAACCTCATCCCCAATCGGCCGCTGGCAAATGTTTTGGAAAAACTTACACTCGGGAAACTCCGTCTTCATGGGGAAAGGGGGCCGAAGGAAAGGGGAAGATCTGCGAGAAGCACCAGGAGCCCCTGAAGCTCTTCTGCAAGGAGGACGAAAGCCCCATCTGTGTCGTGTGTATTGCGTCCAAGGAGCACAAAAGCCACGAGGCGATTCTTCTGGAAGAGGCTTTCGAGGAGTACAAGGTAAGAAATCTCTCTGGATTTCCTTTGGGTTTGATGAGGGCGAAATAGCTACAGAGAAGGGGGTTTTGCAGGACAATGTTTTAATATATTCTCCCCCTCCTGCAGACAAAGAGTCTCTTGTCAGTAAACTTCTGAAACTCTGTTCAATTTATTTTTACCGTTCTGGGGATTACAGTGCCCCTAATGTCCCCCTGCAGGAGAAACTCACCCCCAGTTCATCCTCTGGAAGCAGCTCCCTTAGGAAAGGGCTGGAGGGAGGAGCAATGGAGGTGGCAGGGATAGAATCACAGAATGGTGGAGTTGGAAGGGACCCTGAGGGCATTCTAGTCCAACCCCCCCGAAATGCAGGGATTCTGCCCACAGCCGTCCCTGGTTGGGCTCGAACCACCAACCTTCTGGTTAACAGCCAGACACACTGACCCATTGCGCCACAGGCTCCCAGGATGACGAAGGCAAAGACCACAGTCTTTGGGGCAGGGAGCAAGCATCTGATTCAACTTTCCTGTTATTATGAATACTAAAACTCCAACAAAGAAAAACAACAACCAAAGTTTGATTTTCTTTTCAGGGACAGATAAGCAGCTGCCTAGACAATGTGAAGAAGGAGAGAGAGAAAATTCTGGAATTTAAAGCGGGCACAGAAAAGGAAAGCCAAGACCTGCTTGTAAGCATTATTTTTATTTAAGGTGAAAAATGTTATGCAGTAGTACCTCGCGTTACACAACCCTCTGGTTATGTAAACTTCAGGATGCGAACATGGCAAACCCAGAAGTATTTTTCTGGGTTTCACTGCGCGCATGCGCAGAAGCGGTCTATCACGCACATGCGCAGAACAGGCACCTCCAGTTGCTGAAACTTCGAGATCCAACTGGAGCTCCGGAATGGATCCCATCCGCAACCCGGAGGTAATACTGTAGTATAATATCTGGGAAAAAATGAAGATGGAATACAGAAAGAAGTTTACAGTATTTTAGAACAGTCTGATCACACACAGGGCATGGAAGACCATTTGAAGGTGGGGGTGGGCTTGTAAATTTTTACGAAACTCTTTTCCTGCTGGAGTGATCTCTCTAAAATGGCAGACATGCCCTTCCAAGTGAATTCTAATAACTGGTCTCTTCATCCTGCAGCATTATGCCTAATATTGGCCAGGTTTTCTCCTCCTCTTTCTCTTTTTGCTGGTGCAGAAGCAAACAAAATCAAAATCTGGGAAAATAAATATGAAATACAGAAAGAGGTTTATTTTTGAATGGTCTGATCTCCCACAGAGCCTGAAAGACCATTTAAAGGAGGGGGTGGGGTTGTAAGTTTTTACGAAGCTCTTTCTCTGCTGAATATGTCAGAAGTGGCCTTCTAAGGGAATTCGGATAACTTGACTCTTTATCCTTCAAGAGCAGACTAGATGCCTGATCTTGGCCCACTGTTCTCTTCTTTCAACCTCTTTGCTGCAGAAACAAACAGGTGCAGAGAGGGAAAAGATGGTGGCTGAGTTCAGGTGACTGCACCAGTTTCTGGAAGAACAGGAGAAACGTATTCTGGCCCAGATGGCAGAAGTGGAGAAGGAGATTGCAGCACAAAGGGAGGGGCACCTGGCCAGACTCTCCAGGGAACTCTCCTCTCTTGACAGCCTCATCCGGGAGATGGAGGAGAAGCTTCAGGAACCAGAGAGTGAACTCCTGCAGGTGAGGCCTCATCCTGATGCGAGAGGGTGGAGTGGGCTGCTTCAGACTACAGGCATTTCTTAGTCCTTCCCCACATAAAAATACTGTTGTCAGAGGAACAAGCAGTACATGACATAGCAGCTAACTCTGAGGGGCCAAGGTCCCTTAGACTGCCCAATAAAATATTTGAGGGGGCCAGCCCCCCCCCGCCACCAATAATGGGCATTTCTATTGAAATGGGGTGTGTGTACTGCATATTGTGATTGATTATGTGGAGTGGGGCTTACCTGCCCACCCCCCAATATCTTCTTCAAGTTGTCACTAGATCAAACCACAGGCCCTTTCCGTCCTGCTTCCTGTTCTTGCATTGGCCAACCAGAGGTTTCTCGGAAGCCCACAAGCCAATAGAACTCTGTATTCAATTAACCTTTACTCAGAGTAGACTGTCTTAGGTTCATTAATTTCAGTGTGTCTGAGTAAAAGCTAGTTGAAAACAACCAATACTGTCTCCAACACAGGCATTCCAAATTGGCACTGCAACATCTTTTCATTCAGATGCTGTCTTGGGTCCAGCCAGAGAGGGGGTGACCTATTATTATTATCATCATCATCATCATCATCATCATTATCATTATTATTATCATTATCATTATTATTAAAATAAGTTTGTGTACCACCCAATACCCGCAGGTCTCAGGGTGGTTCCCAGGATATGATTGAGTGTGGGATGTACATAGCAGTGAACCGATGAGTTGCATGTGAACACGGAACCAGCATGCGCTGCAGGGCAAAATGGCAAATCAAGGAGGTGGGACTGAATCTCTCAGGTGTTTGGGTGACTTGGTCAAAAGAGAAGAAAGGGGCCTTTTATTAGTCATCACTGGAATGGCTGACTTTTGCCATCTGATGGTTATTCCAAAATTATATGGCGCTGTGTATTTTATTGGGGGTCTTTTGTTTTGTGCTTGGCTAACCTCTCTCTGCTTCAGCTGCTTAGTATAACTGACCGCAGGGCTCTCTGCAGAAATGGCTCCACGGATATATTTTTCTTTCCTTCTTTCCAGGATATCAGAAGCTTCTTGCAGAGGTAAGTGATGGAAATCTACTGCTTTAAGATAATGTACAGTGGTACCTCGGGTTACATGCACTTCAGGTTACATACGCTTCAGGTTACAGACTCCGCTAACTCAGAAATAGTACCTCAGGTTAAGAACTTTGCTTCAGGATGAGAACAGAAATTGGGCTCTGGTGGCGCAGCTGCAGCAGGGGGCCCATTAGCTAAAGTGGCGCTTCAGGTTAAGAACAGTTTCAGGTTAAGGATGGACCTCCAGAACGAATTAAGTACTTAACCCGAGGTACCACTGTATTGGGAAAGTTCCTGTTTAACAAGTGAGAAACTCACTCTCCAGTTCCTCCTTCCGGAGATAGCTTAGGACTCCACCGTCCATTTCACAAAATCACAGACAAAAGAAGAGACATATTTTTGTGGTAGTTTGTTGCTACAATCACAGACAGGAAGCCGTTCCCCATTGCATATTTCTGAAGGTCCATTTCTGTGATGGATTCATTTACTCTGCAACTGATACAAAAAAGGGGGACACCCCAAAGGTGCTTGTAAATATCTTTACTATAACTTACCCTTAAATATTCAGTGTATTTCAGGCTCCTGCAGTTTCTTCCTCAGCCATAAGAAGGTGAGAAAGGGCCCTGCTGGATCAGGCCAGTGGTCCATCTAGTCCAGCATCCTGTTTTCACAGTGACTAACCAGATGCCAGTGGGAAACCAGTGGGCAGGATCTGAGCCCCAGAGGACACTCTGCTCTGGTGGTTTCAGCAACTGGAGTTCAGAGGCACCACTGCCTTTGACTCAGCCATTGTGAAGAGTAGCCGCTGAGAGCCTTCTCCCCCAAACACCTACAACATGTTCAAAAATTAAAGAATTTTGAAAATCTTGCATGTTTAGAAAATACTGCTTTAATTTCTAATATTTTCTCCATTTTTAAAATATAACCACTGTGCTAAAATACATTTATAATGTTAATTGCAAAAGCCATTCTAAAGCATTCTGAACTTCCTTATATTTCAGAAATGCACATACCAGATCTATTTTGTTTTCCTCATTAATCACTTGAAATGCTTCACTAAAACTGGTGTAGTCCTAAAATCTCTGCATAAGGACCCAGTATGGTTCACTTTTCTTAAAAAAATAATAATGGGTATACATCAGCTTCTTTATCTTCAATCTCCTATTCATATATTTCATTCAAAATTCAAAAGCAGGTGTCTTTCGGTTTTCCTTCAACTTCTTAGATGCTTTCTAGATCCACACGTCAGCTAGATGCTCCTTTTTGCCGTAGGAAAATCCTGCTCCCAAGTCTTCATGATATTTCCATGGTGCATTTATCATCAGGATGAGACACCTGTCTTCTCAGAAAGCTCCTTGCGTTGGAAGGATGGTGGCTTCACTTTGTTCTTCTCCTCCCAGATCTCAGGAGAAGGAGAAATTAAAGAATCCTCCTGTGGCTTTTCCTCCTGCCCTGAAGTGGAGGATCTGGGACTTCAAAGATATAAATCCCTTCCTGAAGGGTGTCATGAAGAAATTCAGAGGTAGTAAAGATGGGTTGAAAATATTTTGTACTGGATATTTAGAATTGTTCATGAAAGACTCCAGCTCATTAGCAGTGCTAGGAAAATGGAATGTTTATTTATTTATTCTTTTCAATATCTAGAAGTCACACTTTCCTATGTAGATGACTCACAACTGATTTTCCTTAGGCAATTGAAAGGGGATGGTAAAGAGAGTCATGAAGAAATTCAGAGGTAGTAAAGAAGGGCTGAAGGGGACGCGGGTGGCGCTGTGGGTTAAACCACAGAGCCTAGGGCTTGCTGATCAGAAGGTTGGCAGTTCAAATCCCCGCAATGGGGTGAGCTCCCGTTGCTCAGTCCCTGCTCCTGCCCACCTAGCAGTTTGAAAGCACGTCAAAGTGCAAGTAGGTACCGCTCTGGCGGGAAGGTAAACGGCGTTTCCATGTGCTGCTCTGGTTTGCCAGAAGCGGCTTAGTCATGCTGGCCACATGACTGTTGGGATACTGCCAGGGAGATAAAGCCCATCATGACTCCACGTCGCCTCCGGACGATCCATCGATCTCCCGTAGATACAGTATCAGCAATTAGCGACACGAACCCCAGAAATAGTTTCCCACATTCCAGAGCTCTTGCACGCTCTATCAGCAGAGTTCGCACAGCGAAAGACACACTCAGGAGAGCATATTTACAAGTTTATTCAGCGTTGGTCAGAACAAAGAAAAAACATGACTGCCTGCTTCAGTGTCTCAGACACAGAGAGAGAAACGAAAGCAAGAGACAAAACATAAACTTCCTGTGAACAGGAAATACGCAGACTCTGTGACTCACAAAGCCTGCTCCCTTTTAAGGTGAAACGGAAATATCCTAAGCCCAAGCCAGGGAAAAGCATTACTTTACTGCTGTACGCCGGCTCCCTCAGCCAGTAAAGCGAGATGAGAACTGCAACCCCAGAGTCGGCTACGACTGGACCTAATGGTCAGGGGTCCCTTTACCTTTACCTTAAAGAAGGGCTGAAAGTACTTTGTACTGGATGTTTAGAAGTGTTCATGACAGGCCCCAGGTCATACGGAATATTAGCCATGCCTGGAAAATAGAAGGCTTATTTATTTATTCTCTTTCAATATCTAGAAACCACACTTTGCTATGTAGATGACTCACAACTGATTTTATTTAGGCAATTGAAAGAGGAGGATAAACCCTTCTTGCTGGGCTCTGGAAGCTCCTGCGAGATCTTGGGGGAGCCTCCCAGATTCCAGTCAGCAAGGTAAAGGGCTTGAAAGCTCTTGCCATGAAGGGTTTGGCCACCGTGCAAATCGCTTTTAAGACCTTACTTGGTTCTGAGAGGCTCCTGCGAGATCTCAAGGGACCGTTTTGAGATCTCTGATGGCAGGGGTGATTCCAGGAGTCATTCTGACTTTGCACGATCTGCCTTTATGCACAATCTTCAGGAATGTAAGCCTCCCTCAAGTGGTGAGTGTCTGTAAAAAGTTGTACTTGAACTCTTCACATCTCTCAGCCAGGCTTTGGGTGCTTTCACACATCTCACTTTTGGGGCATTTCTCCTGTTCCTTTGGCCCTGAGATTGATGTAAGGGGAGCAGGAGGGAGGGGGGCTGTCCAGGAGCCAGCCAGGAACAGAGGGGACTGGGGTTGAGGCCTCCTGTCCTGGAACAGGGGTGTCTGGACCTTGTTGTTGATGGGGAGATCTTCTGGGGGTCCTGCTCCTCCTCCCAAGATTTGGGCAGGACTGACCTTTGACATCACCCCTGCCCTGGTTATGCAGGGATAGCCAGTGTGGAGACCTTCAAATAGTTTTAACTTCAACTCCCATAATCTCCAGATGTCATGGCCAGTGGTTAGGGAGGATGGGACTTGTAGTCCACAACACCTGGCTACAATCTCATGAGCTCATATTGTTCATTCCAGGTTTGTTGTCTGAATGATGGTGTGATGCTAAATCTCTGTTCCCTTTTCTCTCCCAGACACTGTGGAATATGGACTTAAGCTGCGAAAAGGTACATTTCCGGGTGAAGCACAGACACTAATTAGGGAGAGATGGGATCCGCATCTCAAAAGACCAGGCCACTGCACCTCTTCCGTCCATGCCGTATTTTCCTTATTTCCCAGAGGCATCTGTTCCGTGAGAGCAGCTTGCTGGGCTACAGGGGCTCATGGCCTGATCCTGCAGACTCTTAGGAAGCCCACAGCCCAGGATGGCTGGCTTTTCTGTGCCGAATCTCAATAAGACACAGGGGTGGTGTGAAGCCAAAGGCTCCTGGCACATGAGGGGGAAATATCCCTTTGAGCCATACCAGATCCACACCCCGTTTAGGAGAGTTTATGTAAGAGAAAGGTGTAAGAGTGGGAAATGCATGAACACAAATAGCTCAGAAAATGGCTGCAACAACCTTTGGGGGCTGGAAGGTGAATGGGTTCTGGTGTCAGTGGAGGGAGCTGGGGGCTGCCTGAGTGTGAACTGCAGTGGTTCAGCGTCCCTGCAAGATTGGGGGTCTTCCCTCAGCTTTTGTATTGGAGGGGAGACATGACCTCTCTGCTAAAACAAGAGAAACTTGAGTAAACCTAAAAGAGCAGGGCAGAATTAGACCACAGACTGGGGGAAAAGGCTCAATGGGAAGATAGAAGTCCAGTCTGGCCTGATTCTGGACATCACAGAAAGGGAATCATAAGAGCTGGAAAAGATGTAAAAATGGCAGCATAAAGGAAACTCTTATTTACCTTTAAAATCATATTCTGGGATTCTTTTAGAAAACACTGAGTAAAATACATAAAAGCTAATCAATACAATAAACTAGAAAAACCCATTACATTTAACAAAACAAAAAACTAATAGCAGCACTGGCAACATCCAATATCCCACATAATTTCCAAAGTGCAAAAGTGTGTTTTTAAAAAGAAATCACTTGATTACTTTCCGTAACGTGGCAGGGGTAGGGAGGACTGCAGAGCAGATCTTCTTTCTAATGTCCACCAGCCTGACCAGTTTTTAAATTGGTTTCTCGTGATGCTTCCACTGCCCCCCTTTTCCATAAATGTGAGGAACAGTGAAAAAAAAGATGAATTATATAGCCAAATCAGGTCTGGGGAGCCAGGATGGGGTCTTTGCATTGAAGGTGACGTGTGTGTGTGTGTGTGTGTGTGTGTGTGTGTGTGAATGCATTAACGATTAACACAATTCATAGGAAAAGAAAGCCATTCATATCAACGATGTAATAGAACCATCAATATTCTGCGTTGCTCTAACCAAACTGCAAGATAAAATTAAGTTTGTTCTTAGCTAACTGCTCATAGTTTGCCTGGGGGAAACAAACCATAGGCCCAAGCACCTCCCAGGGACTCCTGCATCACACTGCAGAACATGGAAGGGAGTCCCTCAGAAGGTGGTAGACTCTTCATCCTTGGAACTTACAGGGAAGTTGCAAGGGTTCTAATGTAGAGAATGTGTGTTAAGTACTTCAAACACTTGAAAGAACTGCAAATATTTCAAGAATCATTAAGAACCTGTCTTGAATGCAGAGCCATGGAGACCCTGTTCATTTCAGAGCGGATGCTATTTCTGTCATGTACCTAAAACAGAGTCAGCTTCCCGGTTGACGTCGTTTCTCTTCTCTTTCCTCCTCTGCCCCCACAGAAAACGTAACTTTGGATCCAGACACAGCACATCCCTGCCTCATCCTTTCTGAGGATCGAAAGAGTGTGAGAGATGGAGAAGTGCGTAGACGCCTGCCGAACAACCCTGAGAGATTTGACACACATGGCGATGTGCTGGGATGTGAGGGTTTCACATCAGGCAGACATTTCTGGGAGGTCATTGTGGGAAGAGAGGAGGGGTGGGGGTGGGGGTGGCCAGAAAGTCTGTGAAGAGGAAGGGTGATTTAGGTTTTGATACTACGGAAGGGATCTGGGGTTTGGGGAAGTGGGACGGTGGGTACAAGTTATGCTCCCCCTATGAGGACCCTGTTCCAAGTGAGGAGCCTGAGAGGATCCGAGTGACCCTGAACTGTGAAGGGAGACGGGTGTCCTTTTACGATGCAGATACAGCAGCCCTTCTCCATGCAGATACAGCAGCCCCCTTCTCAGGAGAGACCCTCCAGCCCTACTTTTATGTGAGCAAGAAAGCGAACCTGAGACTCTCTTGACTGAAGGTGCAGACAGACAAGCATATAGTCACTGTCATCATGGCACATTCAGTCTCCTCTTCAGGACTGAGCTGACAGGCACTTCAGGAGAAACCATATTTGCAGAACGGTGATTGGCCATCCCTTGTGTCAATCATGATGCAACTCTCCCTTCTCAGGCCAGCTTTGTAAATGACACTGATTGATTGGGTCCCCTGTCAGTCCCCAAACTTGCCTGTTTTCTCTCCCTTGGGAATAGGCTACTTCTGTCAGTGCAGGAGGTGCAAAGGGGGAAAGAAGCAAGAAAATAATTTAGGAAACAACAGCAACACACACCCCCTGCAATATTCCTGTTTTGATGTTCTCTCTCCAACCTCCAACTTGAGTTTTCTAGAGACAATACCATCATCTTTTATGAATAAAACCAGAATTATGCACGGGCATCACTTAAAACCTTCCTCAGCCTCAATCCCTTTCTCAGATTCCCTTTCCTCCCCCAAAACCTCCACTGACCATGAATGGAAGTTCCAAAATCCCCCCCTTTTTTTTTCTTTTTTTTTTGCTGCTACTCAGGGAAGCTTATGTGGCAATATAGCAAAATCAGAGACCTGTTTGCTAGTCTGTCCAGAACGCACAACTTACTTGTGTGATTGCAGCCTGGAGCACTTTGTCTAAACAAATTAATAAATAAATAAATAGAAAGAGGGTGAGAGGTGGGAAAACCTCTTGGAAGGGACTGTGTGAGATCTCACAAGAGTCTCCAAAGCCCAGAAGGCAATTGGGGGGGGGGGCGCTTTGGCAGTGGGAGAAAGGGTTTCTAAGTCCACCTTGCTTACTGGCCTCTACAAAGGTTGCATAAAGCTCTCAAGATCTCTGGCTTCGGACACGTAGGGATGGTTGCTTGGGGCGCATTTTCGGGGGTCTTCCTGACTTATCCAATATTGCTTTTGCATTCTGACCCCAGAAACATAATCCCCCCACAGGTTTTGGGCCTTGATGTAACAAAATCCCCTCTGACAGTGAAGAGCCTCTGTCAGAAGTTCTGAGGAGAGAACAGTGACAATCTAGAGGATTTTGGGGAGTGGGTTTTCCCCCTGTAAATTCCCATGTATACAATTATATTCTCCAAGGTGCTTTGTAGTGAACAGTCAGATACTTATCTGTATTTTTAGAGATCACCTCTTCTTTTTTTGTTTATACAGTGGTACCTCAGGTTACAGATGCTTCAGGTTACAGACTCCGCTAACCCAGAAATAGTACCTCGGGTTAAGAACTTTCCTTCAGGATGAGAACAGAAATCGTGTGGTGGCAGCAGGAGGCCCCATTAGCTAAAGTGGTGCTTCAGGTTAAGAACTGTTTCAGGTTAAGAACAGACCTCCAGAATGAATTAAGTTCTTAACCAGAGGTACCACTGTGTGTGTGTGTGTGTGTGTGTAAAATTTTGCAGCACAGGCACACACATTCATACAACTAAACATAAAAGTAGTAAAAGACAAGGTAAAAAGACATTAAAAGATAAAAGATAAGAATACTAGTGAAAAGAATAAGCAATATCAGCATAGCATACAAAAACTCATACAATACAAATAATAAACTATTGCTCCAGAAGCGGTTTAGTCATGCTGGCCCCATGACCCGGAATGCTGTCTGTGGACAAATGCTGTCTCTCCCGGCCTGAAAGGAAGATGAGTGCCGCAACCCCATACTTGCCTTTGACTGGACTTAACCATCCAGGGGTCCCTTACCTTACCTTACCTTTACCTTTTTATATTTCAATTATTTTCTTCCAGTTGACTTCCTTCATCCTCAGCACAGTTGCATTTTCATTTTTGATAAATTGTTTCCTCCTTTTTGTATATTTTTTACCCATCTTTATTTTTGTTTTTATTTTTTATTTGAGGGCACTGCTTTTTAAGGTAATCCCTGTATTTTCCCCATTCTTTTTGAAATTTTTGTTTGGGCTGCCCCCTAATTGCATCTGTCATTCTAGCCAATTCTATATAATCAAATAATTTATCTTGCCATTCTTTTCTTGTTGGTGTTATTTCTTTTTTCCAATATTTAGCAATTAATGTTTTCGCAGCTGTAGTAGCATAAAGGAATATTTTCTTATTTTCTCTGGCTATATTCGTATCTAATATCCCCAATAAAAAAGCTTCTGTTTTCTTAACAAAGTTTTCTTTAAACATTTTCTTTAGCTCTTCGTATACCATGTCCCAAAAGCTTCCAATTTTGTCACATGTCCACCACACATGTAGTAGTGTCCCCTCTACAGTGGTACCTCGGGTTTAGTACTTAATTCGTTCCGGAGGTCTGTTCTTAACCTGAAACTGTTCTTAACCTGAAGCATCACTTTAGCTAATGGGGCTAACCCAAGGTACCACTGTACAAATTTAAATCAGGTAATGCCAATCCACCCCTATTTTTTTATCTATTAAAAGTTTATACTGCCAAATAAATTTTTTTATACTGCCAAATAAACTTTGATAGATCTTTTTGCCAAGATTTAAATCCCACCCCTCCAATGATTGGTATCATTTGAAATAAGAACATCATTTTAGGCAACACTTTCATTTTCACAACTGATATCCTGCCACACATTGATCATCTTAACTTATCTTAACTACAAATTTCCAAATCTCTCTTGAATTATTTCCATATTTTTATATAGTTATCCTTGAATAGGTTACTGTTTTTAATCGTCGGCCAAATTCCCAAGTACTTAGTTTGGTTTACTATTGTTAATCCTGATATCTTCTGCAGTTCTTCTTTTTCCTGCATTGACGTATTTTTGCTAACATATTGGTTTTATTCTTGTTTAGTTTAAATCCTGTCACTTTTCCTAATTAAAGAATCCTTTATATTATTTTTGGTACACTCTCTTCTGGATTTTTGGTAGTTAGGATCAGATCATCTGCAAAGGCCTTCATCTTATGTGATTCCTTTCCCACTGTTATACTTTTTATATTTTGATCTTACCTTATTGCGTTCACAATAAATACTAAAGGTGAAAGAGGACAGCCTTGCCTGCTCCCTTTACTTATCTTTAAATCTTCCATTATTTCAATATTAAGGATCAGTTTGGCTCTCTGGTTTCAATATATTGCCTCAATGCCTCTCTTAAAGTTTTCCCCGAGCCCTATTATTTCTATAGATTTTTCATAAAGTTCCACAAGATATTATCTAAGGCAGGCACCCCCAAACTCAGCCCCCCAGATGTTTTGGGACTACAACTCCCATCATCCCTAGCTAACAGGAACTAGTGGTCAGGATGGTGGGAGTTGTAGTCCCAAAACATCTGGAGGGCTGAGTTTTGGAGTATCTGATCTAAGGCCTTCTCCTCATCACCTCTTCTTATCCTTTTGTATAACTGGAAGAATTTGTGGATATGTTTCATGTGCTAGCATGTTTGATTTTATTAAAGATTGTCCTTCTCATTGTTCCTTTGTTGTTTCGAACTCAACAGTATAATGGCCCCATCCATTCCCCATGACACTTCTCCAGGGATTTTAAGAGGGTGATATCAGAGAAACCCTGTGCGGTAGAAGAGGCTGAACTGAGAGACTTAGAAAAAAAGAAACACATTAAAGTTTGTGGTCAAAAGGGATTTGAACCTGGGCCTGGTCACCCCAAGTCTGGGCACTCAGAATTTGAAATCTTAACAAGGATCCCTTCAGAGATTTGCTTGACAGCCCTTCCTGCAAAGTTCCTGTATGTGGAAGCTCATATTCAGACTTTCTTGTGTTTACCGTGAATGTCTGCAGGAGGAGTTGATCCAGTTTGAGTGGCTGATTTCAGGGGCTTCCTGCATAAACTCATATTTTGCACCTGGGTCCATTTCTTGATCTCAGCATTCTGATTAAAAATGAAAGCAAATCCCCCAAGTCAGAAGTCTGCCCATCCCTTTATTTGTGGGAATCCCACCACCAGGAGAGAAGTGAGTCTCAGCCGTACCTGCCATTTCAGCGGGAGAGCAGCTACCCTATTGACACCCTATTTTTTTAAAATACAGTCAGTTGTGGGCAAAGTGAAGGGGGGATGAAAAGAATGCCAATTATAATAGTTCCCCGCCTTGTTTTCAACGGAAGCATAGCAACCACTGCCAAACAGATGGGGCAACAAATAGGGAGAGGCGTTTTCATTCAACATTTTTATCATGGTCTTCCGAATGGTAATTTGCAAGTCGGAAGAGGAAGTGAAGGCAGCACATCTTTCTAATCTCTTCTGAGCTCTATGGCACAAACAAGAAATCAAGCCTATAGCCCTGTGTCCTGGGATAAGTCCCTTTGAACTTACTGTTAAGTAGACATAGGAGTGCATTTTATTTTGTAGACAAAAAGGATTAGCTCACGGGTTTTGGTGATTGCCTAGAGAGAAAGGACTTGTTCATACAGCACATCATATGATTTTGGACACTAACTTAGACATCCTTTTAAAGTTGGCGAGACGAAAGGTTTGAGACCAAAAGCCCTTTCCTGTGGTTCGCCTCTACAACTTCAGCTGATTCAGAGGTAGACTGCCTCTGCCCCAGGAGGTTTCATTGAGCAGGATGCTGTGCTCTGGCAGCACCAGAAATGACTCCCTCTGACCTGGCCAACTGCTGCCGCTGGGTCTGTGCAGGTAACAGTTATAATTACTTCATAATCATTAATACAGGCTTAATGAATACAAGCAAAACATAAAGGCAGTCTGTGGGCCTGAGGATAAAGGTAAAGGGACCCCTGACTGTTAGGTCCAGTCGTGGACGACTGGGGTTGCGGCACTCATCTCGCTTTATTGGCTGAGGGAGCCGGCGTACAGCTTCCGGGTAATGTGCCCAGCAGGACTAAGTCGTTTCCAGTGAACCAGAGCAGCGCACGGAAACGCCGTTTACCTTCCTGCCGGAGCGGTACCTATTTATCTACTTGCTCTGCGTGCTTTCGAACTGCTAGGTTGGCAGGAGCAGGGGCCGAGCAACGGGAGCTCACCCCGTCGCAGGGATTTGAACCGCTGACCTTCTGATCAGCAAGCCCTAGGGTCTGTGGTTTAACCCACAGCGCCACCCGCGTCCTATGGGCTTGAGGATACCCACCCCCCAAAAGCTTTTCAATGTGTCTCCTCCGACACCTCAGCCCTTCAGCTCCGGACTGGACATCTCCAACTCCACGGATCTCCTGCCCTGTTCAAAGGGAAGTATGGTGTGGGAGACAGGGAAGAAAGGATCAAGGGCCCACAGCAGAGGGAGGTGGTGAAGGTGCCGTGTTCCAGCACTCCCTCCAACCTGAGGAACCAATATCCTATCAGCCAGCCCTGACTGGCGGTTAATGCCAGGTTGGCTGTGAATAAAGTTCCTCTCTTCCATGATTTGATTGGGGATGAGATAATAGGTAAAGGTAAAGGACCCTGGACAGTTAAGTCCAGTCAAACGCAACTATGGGGTTGCGGCGCTCATCTCGCTTTCAGGCCAAGGGAGCTGGTGTTTGTCCACAGGCAGCTTTCCAGTGAAGAAGACAAATCAAATACGATACTCCTTTTCCTTATGGGAATGTCAGAGGAGCCCAGGTAGGAGTTTCAGTAGGCCGGAGGGAAACAGAACAATCAAGGCAAGTCGGAGCAAAGCGGCAGTTTCACCCGATCTTTATCTTCTGCTGCAGCAGGGTCTTGACCCACTTATGCAAGATAGGCAAGAACCCTGAACAAAAGGATAAACACATATTTATAATTTCCCTCCTCAGGTGTCCCTCTCTCCTTCCCTGCCCCATCATGCGTGTCACAGAAATGTCAAGAGAGGAGGTGTCGGAGATAAGGTTACAGATAACTTTTACACAGGTGATGGTGGTTGATGTTTGAGTACTGTAGTTGATATTCATGTTTCCTTAACTACCTGGTGCTGGTGTCTGACCTTACTAATGACTATTTCCTCAGTGTCTTAGAAAAAGAAGTGACCTCATTCGACTCCTTTGCCTGGTTCTTTATCGCTAGCTGGCACAAATAGTCTTTTAAAAAAGAGTGCTTTAAAGAATGCAGCTTTTATTCTTTGAAGTCTTCGTCTCCAATCACCTCTGACACAGCTTTACACACCTCAAATGCAACCAACCAACAACCATCCCATATGCACAGTATATATATTTATAGCTGAAAGGCAGCATGTGTCATGCAGGCTTTGCCAATTCATGGTGGGCCTCAGTTCCTTTTGTTTCTTCGTTTAAAGAAACAGCAGCTACCTTTTAGGCCATGACATTTTGCTTCATAGGACAGATGCCAGACACAATCGCTGAGCTGTGGACAACAACCCTTACTTGCAGTGCCTGGGTGTGAACAACTTCTCACCATCTTAGCTAGATGGGCCATTTTTGAGGGAGATGCTGCCCTTATTGGTGTCTGGTGTTTTATATAGTTTTGTGAATGGTTCATTCAATAAATGTGTGTGGATTTTATGAATGGATATAGTTTCCTTGCAGACCCGGTGGATGGAAGTGTGGGGCATACATCTTCGAAATCAGACATTAGAAGGATTAATTCCTCAGTATACAGTGGTACAGGCGAAAATACATACGTGACTACATTTGTGGAAAACATTACTCTTAATCAGCCATTAACACATTTCACATCGTTGCCTTTTCTTCATATGTATACATTTGACATTAGCATTGAGTACTCTTTCACCACAGTGTCAGGTTTTGTTAGAGAAGACATATTTCATATAGAGTACCCGCCCCCTCATTTCAGTCTACATCACCGGGTCATGTGGTCAGCATGACTAGACGACTTATGGTGCAATGGAACACTGTGATGGAAACCAGAGTGCATGGAAATGTCATTTACCTTCTTGCCTATTTATCTACTTGCACTGGTAAGCTTTCAAACTGCTTAAGTTGGCAGGAGCTGGGACTCAGCAACGGGAGCTTACTCCGTTGCAGGGATTTGAACTGCCCACCTTATGATCTGCAAGCCCAAGAGGCTCAGTGGTTTAGACTACAATGTCACCCACGTCTGGTCTGTATTCCTGAGGCCTGGGTGGATAAACAAGATGGAGTTGGTCTCGCCCAGTTGTGCCTACCTGGGTACTTGTTTCAGCATCAGGGCAGACTTGAGAGCCAGCAAGTGGAGGGTTGCTGTGGTCCAGAGAGATTCCTCTTTCTCTCTCCAGATGAATAGGGATCTACAGTGTTCGTTCCTGGCACTGAGTAATTGGGACAGATATGGGATTCTGCTAGTTTACTGCTGGCCTCGCTCCCCAGCAGTCCCCCTGCCTGAGTGGCAGAGCCAGTCTTGGTGGCAGAGTTGGGGGCTCCCAGACTGCTGCATCTGGGGGGCTTCAACCTCCATGTTGAGGCGACTGACTCTGGGGGTGGTGGCTCAGGAATTCATGGCTGCCTTGACAACCATGGGGCTGTCCCAACATGCTGTTGGCCTGATTAATATCACAGGTCACACTCTGACTCTTGTCTTTTTGACCGGGCAGGAAGAGAGTGATCTGAAACTGGGAGATAATTGACCTCAGTCTGTTGTCCTGGTCAAATCACTTCCTGTTGAAATTAGGCTTTTTCAGCACCATTTCCCTCTGCAGAGGTGGGGCACCCATGAGAATGGTCCACCCTCAGAGGCTGGAGGATTTTCCAGCTGATATGACTGGCACTTCTGTTGAAGCCCTGGTCAGGATCCCTCAGGATCCCTTTCCCACTTTGGGATGCCCATTTGGCCTGGTATAGTACTCTCAAGCTGTGCAGGTTACAGTTATCATTATCATAATCCTCATTAATATTGACTTAATGAAAACAACAAAAACATTAGTGTGTCCGTTGGGATAAACTGCTGCTTGTGCTACTTTTTGTTGTTCTCCTGGAACTATTAGGCTGACTACGGGCCTGAGGACATCCACCCCAAAAGAACTGTCCCCTCAGCCTTTTATTCAGTTAAAGACCCTTCTGCAAAATGTCAACACAGAGACAGCAGGAATCATAATAATCCACAAGGATCCAGAATATGAAACGGAAAACAATTTTGGGTGGATCTGTAATGGCCTCAAATGTTTTGTCTTCATTTTTACGCTTGAACATAGACCCAAATTAAGAAGGGGACCCTCACTTCAGCATGGATCAAATGAAATGTCAGGGGGAAATGTTCAGAGCATCAACATTGAATTATTTTTTTAAAGTGTGATTTGTAAAGAATTTTATGAGGAATGTGTCAACCACCGAAAAAGAATAATTCAGCAGTACATAAAGATAAAAAAAATCACAAGTGAAAAGAGTGAGAACTCTTCCCCTACACCAAAAAATAAAAAAGAAAGATAAAAGGTTCCATGGTTAATGTTAATTTTTCTGAGAGGATGGACTGACTGGAGATGGGATCAGTGGATGGGGAAAATGGAGGAAGCTGGACCTGAAGAGCAGCTTAAAAATTCACCTGGACTGCAGGAAGATTCATTGGTTTAGCGGGGAGGATGGAGAGGAAACAGGGATTTTGTTGAGATTACTTCAGCCCACCCCATTTGAAGCTTGAAGTTGGAAACAAGAAAGGGCAGCCTGGCCATTCTGTGGTGATGGTTAATAGTTTAGTTCCTGAGTCCAGGTCAGAGGCTCACCCTATTCATACACAAACATGCCCTTAAAACAGGATTTGCAAGCAAAGAGAAAATGAGAAGACTTTCCCCATTTGACTCCCTTCCTTCAGAATAATATTTGGGGTCATTGGGGGAGTCAAAATCGCTTCAGGATTGCTCTCCCGTAGTATTTTAGATACATGGTTCATATATTTAGATATGTGTGCATTTATGAATCTTTATTCTATATTTGAGACCTTAAAATTCACTGATAAAGGGCTAATTGAAAGCACCTGCTGTTAATAGGTGCCCCGTGGTGTGACTGGCAAATATCTGGATACCATTTAGTTGATCTATGATTTGCAAAGGCCGTTTGCAGAGTTGGTTCCAGAGGTTATTGCACATTATCAGACGCGACGATTCTGTCAGTCCGACTCACTAAAAACTGGCACCGGGATGGAGGGCTGGGCTGCTTCTCCTCTGTATGGGGGCTGCTAACTAGAAAGGAGATGTCAATGGAGCAAGGCGGGGGGCGGGGCGGGGCAATTCATTCATCATCTTGCAAAGTAGTCTGAGGCTGACATGCTGATAGTTAAACGACAACAACAATAAACTCCACCAGCTCTCGCAGGGAAATGGTTCCTTAAAAAACCAGCCACCAAAAATGAGCATTCCATTTAAAAACATTTAAAATAAAATATATAAAACCATATATTTCCTCTATATCAGAGCGGCTTGGAGCTCCACCCAACTCCAAGGCAACAGAGACACCTGAATTTCCTGAAAAGGAAACCCTCCCATTTGCTGACGCAAAAGAGAGAAAACGAAACCAGCTCTCTCTTCCTGGCGAGGCAGCAGCCATGGCAGCTTCTGGGGGTCCCGTCCGGGATCTCTGCGAGGAAGCCACTTGCCCCATCTGCCTGGAGTATTTCAGGGATCCAGTGATCATCCCGGAGTGCGGGCACAACTTCTGCCGATCCTGCCTGACCCAGTGCTGGGGGAAATCCGAGGGAGAGGCTTCCTGCCCTCAGTGCAGGAAAACAGTGGAGCAAGGCAGCATCAGGAGAAACCAGCAGCTGGCAAATTTTGTAGAAATAATTAAGAAATTTAGCCTTCTGGGCAGAAAAGAGGAGGCAGAAGGAAAAGGAAGGGTCTGTGAGAAGCACCAGGAGCCCCTGAAGCTCTTCTGCAAGGAGGATGAAGCCCCTATCTGTGTGGTGTGTGACAGATCCAAGGAGCACAAAAGCCACGAGGTGGTTCCTCTGGAGGAGGCGTCCCAGGAGTACAAGGTGGGAAATGGCAGTGGGTCTTTCTTGGGGGTGGAAGAGCTGCAGACTAGAGGGGCTTGTAGTAGTAGTAGTAGTAATAATAATAATAATAATAATAATAATAATAATATTGTAGTGTATTCTCTCCACTTGGAGCCCAAAGGGAATTCTTGTGCAGCCTGATAAAACTAACTTCTGAAACTTTATACAATAAACATTTATTTTTCTTTTTGAGGGATTAAAGTGTGCCCAGTGACCCCCTGAATGCAGGCTGCAGTAACTCCCCTGGGAGGAAAGATTGCAACATCAAGCATTAATTTAATAAAAAGGAGGAGGGAGATGTTGGAGGTGTGCTCAGTGTGGGGGATTAATAATAATAATAATAATAATAATAATTTATTATTTATACCCCGCCCATCTGGCTGAGTTTCCCCAGCCACTCTGGGCAGCTCCCAATCAGTGTTAAAAACAGTAACGTGTTACATATTAAAAACTTCCCTGAACAGGGCTGCCTTAAGATGTCTTCTGAATGTCAGGTAATTATTTATCTCTTTGGCATCTGATGGGAGGGCGTTCCACAGGGCGGGCGCCACTACCGAGAAGGCCCTCTGTCTGGTTCCCTGTAGCCTCACTTCTCGCAGCGAGGGAACCGCCAGAAGGCCCTTGGCGCTGGACCTGAGTGTCCGGGCAGAACGATGGGGGTGGAGACGCTCCTTCAGGTATACAGGACCGAGGTCGTTTAGGGCTTTAAAGGTCAGCACCAACATTTTGAATCGTGCTCGGAAACGTACTGGGAGCCAATGCAGATCTCTCAAAATAGCAAACCCCCCATGTTTCTCAGCTCTGATATAGGGCAGCCCCATTTCTGCCTCCTCTGGGATGAAAAAGGGGAACCTCTGCAAAAGACCCAGGGATGTGGGGCAGGGAGCAAACATAAGATTCAGCTTCCCTGTTAATGTGTAATGCAGCCCAACTTGGATTCTGTTTCTTTTCAGGATCAGATCAGCAGCTGCCTAGACAATGTGAGGAAGGAGAGAGAGAAAATTCTAGTATTTAAAGCAGACACAGAAAAGGAAATCCAGGACCTGCTTGTAAGCACCATTGTTACTGTTTTAAGGTGAAAAATGCTATAGTCTAAAATCAATATGGGTGAGAGGGGCGGAAATGAATATGGAATACAGAAAGAGGTTTATTTTTGAATGGCCTGATCTCCTACAGAGCATGAAAGGCCATTTAAAGGTGAGGGTGGGCTTGTAAGTTTTTATGAAGCTCTTTCTCTGCTGAATATGTCAGAAGTGGCTTTCCAGTGGAATTTGGATAACTGGCCTCTTCATCCTGCAAGAGCAGACTAGATGCCTGATCTTGGCCCACTCTTCTCTTCTTTCAATCTCTTTGCTGCAGAAACAAACAGGTGCAGAGAGGGAAAAGATGGTGGCTGAGTTCAGGCGACTGCACCAGTTTCTGGAAGAAAAAGAGAAGCTTTTTCTGGCCCAGATGGCAGAAGTGGAGAAGGAGATTGCAGCCCAAAGGGAGGATCACCTGGCCAGACTATCCAGGGAACTCTCCTCTCTTGACAGCCTCATCCGGGAGATGGAGGAGAAGCTTCAGGAACCAGAGAGTGAACTCCTGCAGGTGAGGCCTCATCCTGATGTGAGAGGGTGGAATGTGCTGCTTCAAACCACAGGCATTCCTTAGTCACATAAAATTGTTGCTGGAAGGAAAACAGTACATGAAGGGTGAAAGGCGTCAGTCCTGGGGTTGCAAAAGGGGCCTTGCTAGATGAAACCACAGGCCCCTTCATTCTAGCATCATGTTCTCTCATTGGCCAACCAGAGGTCTCTGAGAAGCCTAAAAAACAGTAGTGCTCTCCAAACCTGTGATCCCCAGCAGTTGCCACTCAGCTGCTTAGTATTTATAACTGACTGCAGAAATGGCTCCACTGACATCTTTCTTTCTTTCCTTCCAGGATATTGGAAGCTTCTTGCAGAGGTAAGTGATGGAAAACCCTGCCTTATTCTGATGCTAGGAAAGTTCCTGCTTAACAAGTGAGAACCTCACTCTCCAGTTTCTCCTTCCAGAGATAGCTTAGGACTTCATCGTCAATTTCACAAAATCACAGACAAAAATAGGGACACGTTTTGTGGTAATTTGTCGCTATTGATCCCATCTATGTACAATCACAGACAGGAAGCCATTCCCATTGCATATTTCTGGAGGCCCTTCTCTGTGATGGAATCATTTACTCTGCAATTGATACAAAAAGGGGGGACATCCCAAAGGGGCTTGTAAATATCTTCACTATAACTTACCCTTAAATATCCAGTGTCTTTCTGGCTCCTGCAGGTTCTTCCTCAGACATAAGAATGTGATAAAGGGCCCTGCTGGATGAGGCCAGCGGCCCATCTAGTCCAGCATTTTGTTTTCACAGTGCCTAACCAGATGCCAGTGTGAAATCCGCGGTTATCAGGATCCGAGTCCAAACAACTTTAGACACTCATGAATTTTGAGAATCTTCCATTTTGAAAATCTAACCACTGTGCTAAAATACATTTATAATGTTAATTGCAAAAGCCATTCTAAAGCATTCTGAACTTCCTTATATTTCAGAAATGCACATACCAAATCTATTTTCTTTTGCTCATTAATCACTTTAAATGCATCACTAACACTAGTGCAGTCCTAAAATCTCTGCATAGGGACCCAGTACTGTTTTTTCTTCAAAAAAATAATTTGCATATATCAGCTTCTTAACCTTCAATCTCATATTCATATATTTCCTTCAGTATATTTTGGAAGCAGGTGTGTCGGTTTTCCTTCAGCTTCTTAGGTGCTCTCTAGATGCTCCTTTTTGCCATAGGAAAACCCTGCTCCCAAGTCTTCATGATATTTCCATGGTGCCTTTATCATCAGGATGAGACGTCTGCCTTGTCAGAAAGCTCCTTGCATTGGAAAGATGGTGGCTTGACTTTGTTCTTCTCCTCCCAGGTCTCAGGAGAAGGAGAACTTAGAGGATCCTCCTGTGGCTTTTCCTCCTGCCCTGAAGTGGAAGATCTGGGACTTCAGAGATATAAATCCCTTCCTGGAGGGAGTCATGAAAAAATTCAGAGGTAGTAAAGAAGGACTGAAAGTATTGTTAGCTGGATGTTTAGAAGTGTTCATAACAAGCTTCAGGTCATAGGGAATATTAGCCAAGCCAGGAAAATAGAAGGTCGAAACAACATGGCGTCGAGGTAAGACGCGCTTGCCGGTGCTCTTCGGACTTCTTTTAATCTTCTTTTAATCTTTTATATTTTTATCTTAACTGACTCAGTCAGTTTTTGAGGTATTTTATAATTGCTGCAGCCGCATGCTATGGAAACTCTCTGAGAGATTTGGCCCTGCTCCAGACTGCTGTAAGCTGCTCTTTGTTTCTCTCGTATCAGCGGGCCGGCTTTAGCTGCTAAAAGAGTTGAGAACGCCATTATCTTAATTGCGTGTCAAGTGTTATGAGGAAAAGCATGGGTCAGAAAAAACGCTTGAGAGACTTTTGACGAGCCCCTACCATCCCCTAAACCAAAACTATCAAGGTTGGTGCCACACCGGAATGGAGGAGGGAGTGACCATGCCGAGCAGTGCTTTGCAGTGGAAACCCAAAATCGCTTCCTACCTCTAATTGATTTAGAAGCTACTCCAATTCCGATGACTCAAAATGTTTCAAAAGTAAAGCCTGTAAAGGAGAATACGAAAGAAAAACTCTCATCACAGGAAGATGGTTTGGCATCTGTTATGGGGGAGTTCCCCGGTTGTGAGCAGTTACACTTAGTAATTAAGACCCTTCACTGTATTTTTAAAAGGCTGGACGAGGTATCTTCACAATTACCCAATATCCTGATGAAAATCGAAAAACTTGAATCAACAACACAATCTTCAGTTTGTGAGGTGAAAAACTTATTGCCTCACCCCAATTCAGATAAAATAAAGGAGACTAAAATGAAATATATCTTAAATTCCCAATTGAACAATCAGATATTAACTCTGCAACCCAAGAAAAGTTGCCTTTCTGTCAGGTCGGAAATAGGAAGATGGTCAACGCTAGAAGGGGCTAAAGACTGTTCAAGCAAACTTTTAAAAATTAAGAAACATCAGATTGACCTATATGCTGTGATGCTCCTTCCCCGGCAGACCAACTTCTTGAAGGTGATACTTGCGTTCCACTCTGAAAAGATACCATCTATTACTGTTAGGAGGAAAACGCTTTTGTCCATGGCCGACATTGTAGCAACGAGGGTTTTTACAGACAGCAAGATCAAACCCCTTCTAAATAGGTGCCCTGGCGGTGAGGACATTAGGACAAGAGACTTTGCCTTACTTCAAAATACTGTCAGGCCCAACCGCGATGACTCTGCAGCGTGCCATCCTCGACCAAACTCGATACCTTCTCAAACAGCCATATATGAGGACGATAACCTGCGGACTGCCCTTGACGAAAGGGAACTTATTGATTCATTCAGAGCCCTCCCTCCGAAAGAACAGTCGGTGATGATGCAAAGATTTGACACGCTTAAATCTCAGCTTTTGCAAGTCCTACATAGAGGGGAAGATACTAATGATGTCTCAAATAATCCCACTTGGGCTCACCGGACAGAAGTGGTCGACCTTCTTCAGCTCAGCCCCACTCTGAAATCAAAAACCATCCGACAAGACTCAAATCTTCAAGTTGTTTCTGCCCCGTGCGCTACATCACGAGACGACCAGGCTCTGCCATCCTCACTGAACTTTCATCTATATTCATCGACCAACATACCTAAGGACGAAATTCTGATTTCCTGCTTGACTCAAATCCCTCTTTAACTCACTCATCTATGCCAGAGCTAGAATCTTCTCCAGTTTCGACCAGAGATAGAAGTAGTTCACAAGTGATGCCCCTGAGAGAGTCTTCCACAATTCCCACCCCCGTGATGCCCCTCAATTACCTCCTTCAAAGGAAACTGCGAATGTTACACCTCGGGACCCGCCGTCGGAAATGATTGAAGACCCGATGGGACGCATCAATAAAATCATCCGAATGTCGGATGATAAATCTGCGAGAGGGTTTACTCCGACGGACTCAATTTCCCCCTCCCTGGGTATTTCTCTGTCAAGTTGTACCAAGAATTTCGAAATGAAGAGACTTCCTGTTCAGGGATCTACTCTCAGTGGATCATCCACGGTGTGCCAACAGTCGAACCAAATTGTTAAAAACTTTAATTTGGAGGGCTCCTCACAGTTACCATCTTCCCAAAGTAAAATAACTGACTTTTTTGTTACATCTTCTGTCTTTAACAGAGAGTCTGCCCCCCCTCCGTTTTGACTGTTAAAAGAGACAAAATGTCCCTCACCTCTACTACTATCCTGGAACGTTGCTGGATGGCAATCGAAAACAATGGACAAAGACGTTCTATCCTATGTATCACAGTTCAAGATCATCCTGCTCCAAGAAACCTGGATGCAAAATCCTTTTGAACTACACAATTATTTTGCTTTCCATTCCTGTGCCTCAATCGGCCCAAAAGGCGGAAGACCGGCGGGAGGTCTGAGCACCTTCGTATCGACAGATCTAGGAACCTCTCCTATCCAATTGAAAATCGATAAAAAATGGATTTTGGCTGTTAAAATATTCTCTACCCACTTTAAGATCATATGCATCAGTGTTTATATTCACCCACTTATGAAACAAACTGATCTGAAAAACATCTGGAACGAACTGGAAGACTGCATTCTCCTTGTCTCAAATAAGTTTCCCTCTGCCTCCTTAATTATTGGTGGGGATTTTAATGCAAGGTTAGGCCACTCAGACGAACAGTTAATCAACGAAAGTGGAATAGGTCCCCTAAATGCTAATGATGAACATTGGCCCCTATTCAGGCGTCACTCACTTGACCCAGTTACCAATTTTGCTGGTACATGTCTTTTTTTAATGGCACTTAGATTAAACCTTGTTATCTTAAACGGCCTCTCCTCGGGAGACTGCCCTGGCCAATTTACTTATTGGTCAGGCTTAAGGCATTCTGTTATTGACTACATCCTTGTCTCCCAAGAACTCTTTGATGAATATATTGAATTTACTGTAGATATAAGAACCGAAAGTGACCATTTACCCCTAAATCTTAAAAGGACTGAATTCTGGGAACCCTCTAGATGTGGGCTTGCCCCACAGGCACCTGATCCTAATGCTTTACAACAAATAGGCAGATCCAGAATTAAATGGTCCCCTTATGTTAATAACAATTTTAGCATTTGGACACAATCAATGGAAGGTCAACTCCTCTGGGCTGATCTGACTTCCAACGACACTGAAGAGACCTCCCCAATTGACCATTATAACACATTAATCCGAAAACTCCAACCGTTATTGTCAAGACCCAGGAGATCTAACCAAAATGAGTCCCCTACCAACAAAAAATGGTTTGACCACGAATGCACTCAGGCAAAACTTATACTCAGGGAATGCTTTAAGGTCTTCCAGCAAAATCCTAACCCTATCACTAAATTAGACTTACAACTTAAAAAAAAGAACTACAAAGAGTTACTAAAAACCAAAAAAAGAACCGCAGACTCTCTCATCTGGCAGGCCCTCACAAAAGCGTCAATAGAAAAAGACAATACCAACTTCTGGAAAATTATCTCCAGTCAAACCAAAGCTCCTAATGAGGGCACAATAATCCCTGCAAATTCATGGGAAGAGCACTATAAAGTGCTGTTTAGGGAACATCGTCCTTCTGCGCCGCTTAACATCCCCTTAGATAATGATACACCATGGCCCCCAACATCTGAAACTGAAATCACTTCGCTAATTCTACAAATGAAATCTGGCAAAGCCCCAGGAAGTGATTTCATCGTCGCTGAACTTCTGAAAGCGCAAATAAACTGGTGGGCCCCGGTCCTTGCAAATCTATTCTCATATATAGATAAGACAACTGAAATCCCTAAAGATTGGGGACTAGCTATAATTGTTCCTATATTTAAAAAGGGCAACCCCTCTGGCCCATCTAATTATAGACCAATTAGTCTTCTGAATGTGATCTGTAAACTTTATACAAAACATCTATGCCTAAAATTATGTGAATGGTTAGATCATAATAACTTGCTAGAAATCGAACAAGCAGGGTTTACATCTGGACGTTCCACCATTGATCACTGCTTAGTGTTAGATTACTTTGTCTATAAGTATGTGAAACATTGGAAAAATTCATTGTATGCGGCCTTTGTGGACCTAAAGGCAGCATTTGATTCTGTATCCAGGAGTAGGCTCTGGGCCAAATTGGCCAATATGGGTATTAACAGAAGGTTACTACTTCTGATGATTAAGCTTCATGAGAACAATACCCTCCAGATAAGACTCACACAGGACGGCAGACTCTCTAGAGAAATCCCAGTCCAAAGAGGAGTTAGACAAGGATGCCTATTAGCCCCATTTTTATTCAACATCTATGTTAACTCCCTGGTCACATGCTGCCGTGAAATCGAAACCCCCCCCCCGTGTTCTCTAACGGCAGAAAAGTACCAGTTTTAATGTATGCGGATGACGCTGTTCTTCTCTCTCAAACCAAAGTGGGTCTGAAACGTGCCTTAGGAAAGTTTAGTGACCAATGTAACACTGAACTGTTAACAATTAACTTTGCCAAAACTAAAATTGTACATTTTAACCGCTCCTTCAGGAAAGATAATTTGAGTGTAAAGGGAAATGCCATTGAACAGACTAAGACCTTCCAATACTTAGGCATTACTTTCTCTTATAATGCCAAATTCTCAGCACACTTGACCACATCAGCTATATCAGCAGGAAGAAGTGCAAATGCTATCCTTAGATTATTCAGAAGGAAAGGAGCTGGCTTCCTCCCGATGGCCCTAACAGTTTTTCAGGCAAAATCTTTAGCCCAACTCCTATATGGCTCTCAAATTAGCCTCTCTGTCAACCTTAAGACCCTTGAAACAGTACAATCAAAATTCTTAAGATCATTATTTGCTACCCCAAAGTGTACCCCTAATGCAGTCTTAAGGCAAGAGGCAGGACTGCCCAGAGTGGAATTAAAAGTCTGGGAGCAAGCAATATCCCTCTGGCTGAAAATCCATTACAATCCTAAGGGACGGTTACCTTGCTTCCTGGCCGCAGTTCCCTATCCTCCTTGGCTTATGCAAATAACTAACAAGATCAAACAAATTGGCCTAAACCCTGAAAATCTTTTTATTGGAACTCTGAATAAGGCAAAAGCAATTATCACTCAGAGACCTTACGATGTCGAATTACAACAAGAAGGCGCCCTACTCCCAGAGACGTATAGATGTTTAAAAGCTTGCCCTAATTTTGCAGCTGCCCCTTACTTAACTAACATCACTAACGGAGCTTATAGATGGGCTTTCTCTAGAGCCCGCTTTGAGACAATGCCCTCAGCAGTGCTGTATGGCAAATTCACGTGGGTACCAATGCATGCGCGTCTCTGCTCCTGTATGTCTAATAAGGTAGAATCTGTCACACACATTCTTTTATTTTGCGAATTTTATAGTGAAGAACGAGCTCAACTTATTTTGCAGCTTTTATCAAAATTTATACCCCTACAACATTATTTGGAATCCTCCCCCGAAATTCTACGGAAATACCTCCTGGAAGATTCCTCAAGCGCAATATCATATGAGGTGGCCAAATTTTGCACTTTAGTAATTAGGAAGCGTAAATCTCTGTTGAATGGCACACTGCGAAGTTCCCTTGTGTAATCTTTTTCTTTTCTGATGTTGTTGTTGATTTCTTGTTGTTTGATCTTGTGTTTAGTGTTACTGGCTTTTGCCGCAATAAAACTCGAACTTGAGTGTGAAAATAGAAGGTTTATCTATTCTCTTTCACTATCTAGGAGCCGCACTTTCCTATGTAGATGACTCACAACTGATTTTTCTTATGCAATTGAAAGGGGATGGTAAACCCTTCTTGCTGGACTCTGGAAACTCTTGTGAGATCTTGGGGAAGCCTGGCGGGCACACAAATCGCTTTTAAGACCTCTACCATGATTACGAGGCTCTGAGAGGCTCCTGCGAGATCTCATGGGGCCATCTTGAGATTGCAGATGGCAGGGGTGAATCCGGGGGTCATTCTGACTTTCCTCGATTTGCCTTTTTGCACAATCGCCAAGGATGTAACCCTCCCTTAAGCCGCGAGTTGTCTGTAAAAATTTGTACTTGACGTCTTCACATCTCTTAGCCATGCTTTGGGTGCTTTCACACATCTCAACCATTTCCCAGCTAGCCTCGCCTACAGCTTTTTGGGCATATCTTCTGTTCCTTTGCCCCTGAGATTAACGTAAGGGGGGGGCAGGAGGAGGAAAGGAGGGGGGCTGTCCAAGAGCCAGCCAGGAGCAGAGGGGTTGAGGCCTCCTGTCCTGGAACAGGAATGTCTGGATCTTGTTGCTGATGGGGGGATCTTCTGGGGGTCCTGCTCCTCCTCCCAAGATTTGGGTAAGTCTGAACCTTGACATCACCCCTGCCCTGGTTCTGCAGGGATAGCCAGCATGGAGAGTTTCATTTTAAGGTAGGTTTCACGTAGTTTCAGGTAGGTTTAACTGCCAACTCCCATAATCTCCAGCTGGCATGGCCAAGTAGTCCACAACACCTGGCTACAATCTCATGAGCTCATATTGTTTTTCCAGGTTTGTTATCTGAATGATGGTGTGATGCTAAATTTCTGTTCCCTTTTCTCTTCCAGACACTGTGGAATATGGACTTCAGCTGCGAAAAGGTACTTTTAATCATCATCATAATAATAATTTATTATTTATACCCCACTCATCTGGCTGGGTTTCCCCTTCCATTTCCCCAGGCACAAATTCGGGAGAGAGGGGATCCGCTTCTCAAAAGACCAGGCCACTGCAGCTCTTCCATCCATGCCTTATTTCCCAGAGGCATCTGTTCCGTGAGAGCAGCATCCTGGGCTAGATGGGCTCTTGGCCTGATCCTGCAGACTCTTAGGAAGCCCCCAGCCCAGGATGGCTGGCTTTTCTGTGCCAAATCTCCATAAGACACAGGGGTGGTGTGAAGCCAAAGGCTCCCGGCACATGAGGGGGAAATATCCCTTTGAGCCATACAGGGTCCCCACCCCTTTTATGTGAGAGTAAGGTGTAAGAGTGGGAAATGCACAAACACAAGTAGCTCAGAAAATGGCTGCATCATCCTTTTGGGTCTAGAAGGTGAATGGGTTCTGGTGTCAGTGGCAGGGAGGTGGGGGCTGCCTGAGTGTGAACTCCAGGAGTTCGGCTTCCCAGCAAGATTGGGGGTCTTCCGTCAGCTTTTCTGTTGGAGGGGAGACATGACGTCTCTGCTTAAACTAGAGAAACTTGAGTAAACTTTAAAGAGCAGGACAGAATTACAGCACAGACTAGGAGGAAAGGCTCAATGGGAAGACAGAAGTCCAGTCTGGTCTGATCCTGAAAACCACAAAAAGGGATTCATAAGAGCTGGGAAAGGGGCAGCAGGTGGCAGCATAAAGGAAGCTCCTACTTATCTTTAAAATTATATTCTGGGATTCTTTTAGAAAACAGCAGTAAGTAAAATACATAAAGGCTAATCAAGACAACAATAAATTAGCAAAACCCATTACATTTTACTTTTTTTTTTTACTAATAGCAGCACTTGCAACATCCAATATCCCACTTAATTTCCAAAGGCCACTGTACAAATGTGTGTCTTTAAAAAGGAATTGCTTGACTAACTTTCTACAACGTGGCAGGAGGAGGGGGAGGACTGCAGAGCAGATCTTCATCCTAATGTCCACCAGCCTGACTACCGGTAATTTCTAAATGGGCTTCTCATTGTGCTTCCACTGCCCACCTTTTCCATAAATGTGAGGAACAGTGAAGAAAAAGACGAGTTATATAGCCAAATCAGGTCTGGGGAGCCAGGATGGGGTCTTTGCATTGAAGGTGATAATTTTTTTTGTGGGTTTTTTTTGTGTGTGTGTGTGTCACCCTTTATCTTAGGATTGCAACAATAAATGCATTAAGGATTAACACAATTCATAGGAAAAGAAAGCCATTCATGTCAACGATGTAATAGAACTATCAAAAGACCCTTCTGCCATGAACTGTGGTGGGTGGGTTTGGCCTTAGACAAGCCACTGTCTCTCAGCCTCAGTCCTCCCATCTGAAAAATGGGCATAGTTAATATTGACTTAACTTCCAGGGAAGTTGCAAGGGTTCTATGTAGAGAATGTGCATTAAGTACTTGAAAGAACTGCAAATATTTCAAGAGTCATTAAGAACTTGATGGACATCCCTGTCTCCAATGCAGAGCCATGGAGTCCCTGTTCATTTCAGAGGGGATGCTATTTCTGTCATGTGCCTAAAGAAAAGTCAGCTTCCCAGTTGACGTTGTTTCTCTTCTCTTTCCTCCTCTGCCCCCACAGAAAGCGTAACTTTGGATCCAGACACAGCACATCCCCTCCTCACCCTGTCTGAGGATCGAAAGAGTGTGAGAGAGGGAGGAGTGCGTCAAGACCTGCCAGACAACCCTAAGAGATTTGACACATGTTGCTGTGTTCTGGGGTGTGAGGGTTTCACATCAGGCAGACATTTCTGGGAGGTCATTGTGGGAAGAGAGGAGGGGTGGGGGGTGGGGGTAGCCAGAAAGTCTGTGAAGAGGAAGGGGGTTTTGTATTTTAATACTACAGAAGGGATCTGGGGTTTGGGGAAGTCGGATGGTGAGCTCAAGTTCTGCTCCCCCCGTAAGGCCCCTGTTCCATGTGAGGAGCCCGAGAGGATCCGAGTGACCCTGAACTGTGAAGGGGGACGGGTGTCCTTTTACGATGCAGATACAGCAGCCCTTCTCCATGCAGATACAGCAGCCCCCTTCTCAGGAGAGACCCTCCAGCCCTACTTTTTTGTGAGCAAGAAAGGGAACCTGAGACTCTCTTGACTGAAGGTGCAGACAGACAAGTGTATATTCATTGTCATCATGGCACATTCAGTCTCCTCTTCAGGGCTGAGCTGACAGGCACTTAAGGAGAAACCATATTTGCTGAACGGTGATTGGCCATCCCTTGTGTCAATCATGATGCAACTCTCCCTTCTTGAGCCAACTTTGTAAATGACACTGATTGACTGGGTCCCCTGTCAGTCTCCAAACTTGCCTGTTTTCTCTCCGTTGGGAATCGAGTACTTCTTTCGGTGCAGGAGTTGGAAAGGGGGTAAGAAGCAAGAAAATGATTTAGGAAACAGCAGCAACCCCACACACATTCCTGTTTCAATGTAGTTCTTTCTCCAACCTCCAATTCTGACTTAAGATTTCTAGAGATAATACCATCATCTTTGCTAAATAAAATCAGAATTATGCACTGGCATCACTTAAAACCTTCCTCAGCCTCAATCCTGCTCTCAGATTCCCTTTTCCTTCCCCAAAGCCTCCACTGGCCAGGGAAATGGAAGTTCAAAAATCCCTTTTTTTGCTACTCCTCAGGGAAGCTTAGGTGGCAATTCAGCAAAATCCCCATATCCAAAGAGACCTGTTTGCTAGTTGGGTGCAGTCAGTCCAAAACTCAGCACAACTTAACTTACATGATCACAGCCTGAAGCCCTTTGTCAAAACACAAATTAGTAAATAGAGGGTGAGTCCGGGAAAAGCTCTTGGAAGGGACTGTGTGAGATCTCACAAGAGACTCCAGAGCCCAGAAATCAATGGGGGGGGGCCTTTGGCAGTGGGGGGAAGAGTTTCTAAGTCCACCTTGCTTCCCGGCCTCTAGAAAGGTTACATAAAGCTCTGAAGATCTCTGGCTTCGAACAAGTAGGGATGATGAAGAAGAGGGGTTTGGACTTGATATCCTCCCCATCTCTCCCCTTAAGGAGTCTCAAAGCAGCTAACATTCTCCTTTCCCTTCCTCCCCCACAACAAACACTCTGTGAGGTGAGTGGGGCTGAGAGACTCCAGAGAAGTGTGACTGGCCAAGGTCACCCAGCAGCTGCATGTGGAGGTGCGGGGAAGCAAACCCGGTTCACCAGATTATGAGTCCACCACTCTTAAGCACTACACCACGCTAATTGCGTGGGGGGCATTTTTGAGGGTCTTCCTGACTTGTGCAATATTGCCTTTGCATGCTGACTCCAGGAATGTAACCCCCACATAGGTTTCAGGCCTCAATGCAACAAAATCCCCTCTGACAGTGAAGAGCCTCTGTCAGAAGTTCTGAGGAAAGAACAATGACAATCTAGAGGATTTCGCATGGGGGGGGGATTCCCATGTACAGTGGTACCTCGGGTTAAGAACTTAATTTGTTCTGGAGGTCCATTCTTAACCTGAGGTACCACTTTAGCTAATGGGGCCTCCGGCTGCCACCGCAGCACGATTTCTGTTCTCATCCTGAAGCAAAGTTCTTAACCGGTGGTAATATTTTTGGGTTAGCAGAGTCTGTAACCTGAAGCGTCTGTAACCTGAAGCGTCTGTAACCCGAGGTACCACTGTATACAATTATTTTCTCCAAGGTGCTTTGTAGCAAACAGTCAGATACTTACCTGTATTTTTAGAGATCCCCTCTTCTTATCCTTTTGTGTAATGGTCCTGTAAGAATTTGGGGATATGTTTCATGCGCTAATGTGTTTGATTCTATTAAAGATTGTTCTTCTTGTTGCTCCTATGTTGCTTCAGACTCAACAGTATAATATCCATTTCCCATGACACTTCCTCCAGTGAATTTAGGAGGGTGCCTGCGTCATCAGCTGGGTTGTGAGAAAAAGGGGCTTTTGAGAACCAAGTTCCCCCATTCAGCAGGTTTCCTGGAGCAAAACTTGTTTTTTTTTTTTTTTAAATGATATTTATTAAGATTTTCAAAAATACAGAAAGTAAGAGTTAAAGTACATTTAAAGCCTTATTTTCATAGATCCACTTTCCGGGACTCCCCCCTTCCCCCACCCCTACCATATTCCCCTTTCATATTGTTGGCTCCACAAGCTCTCAGTTCTAATTGAAACTTAATTTGTTTAGACCATTATTCGAATTTAAAATTTATACACTCCTCATCAATACCCTTAATAAAAAACAAAAGTTCTCTCCCCAGGGCCCACCCCATTTTCATTCCACAATTTCCCTTTTTTTAATGATAAAGACACCCCACACAATAGAAATATAAGAAATAAGAAATAAAAAATATAATAGATGAAGAAAAAGCTCATTCAGAAAAAAAAAAAATTGACAAGCCTTTGGATTTTAGTTCTCCCCCCCCCCTGTCCCCGATTTAATATCCCCCTGACCACCAAACCATGTTATCCGCCTGGAATTCTTAAAGTCCATAAATCACCTATTTCCCCCAATTCCTTGCTGGCTTTTTCTGTTTATAATTATTTTTTAAAACATTTAACTTCAAATCTTTAAATAAAACTCCCCCCATTGTTCTTTCCAAGTTGTAGTCCAGTTTCCTCTTGTTCCGCTGCTGAAACGTTCTAATTCAGAAGCTTAGTAACTCTGCAGGGATTATTATTATTCAGGAACGAAAACTTGCGTTCAGTCCCTTCCTTTCTTCAATAGAAAATTCTATTGTCTCCTTTAGCCGAACACCCTGTAGACAAAATATTATTTCCGTTTTGCAGCTTTCCCAGAAGATAACCAGTCCTGTAAAATTCCAATGGTATTTTTCCACTTACGACCATCTTTGTAATGTCCCAAAACTCCGCTAGGGGGATTGTTGTAACTTTGTTTTCTCTAGTCCAAAAGTCCGATTGTTATCCATGTTATCGCCATTTTGTATCCAAGTTTTAACAAATTATAGCAAATTGTAACAAATTCAACCAGCAAAGTTCTCATAATAAAATCCTCTCTGCTTTCCGACTTTGACAGCTACTTTGACAGCTGTCAAAATCTCCGACTCTTTTCACCAGGCTCTCTCTTCAATCACCCCGGTTCCCAGGGGGGGGGGGGTTACGTTTCTTCTCCCTCAATTCTTCCTCCAGCACAGTTCTTATAGTTCCCCATCGTGGAATTCTTAGTTTTAATCAGCAATACACATCTTTTTGGACCTTGGTTTCCCCGTCCTTGTTTTGGAAGGTTTACAGTAGGGGGGGGGACTGACTTCCTTTTTGGATCCCCCCCCGCTCGTGTCCAATCCGAAAAAAAAGAATTCTTTTTTTCCCTCCTTTTGAACCCGGTTTCCCAATTACTCACGGGTTGTTGTTAAGAAGTCCGAATTTTCAATGGAAGAAGTCAGCGCTCTCCGCCGGATGGCATGCGGCTGCGCTCGGCAGGGATAGCAGAGGACTCAAAGCACCACGCTTCTCCCCGGCACCCGATCCGTAGCCTTTAAAAAGGCTCCTTCACGAGTTGGGAGGGCGCTAGCGGTGCCAGCCGAGTCTCCATGTCCACGACCTCCGTGGCCGTGGTTTTTAAGGGTCCCCGCATCGCCGGTGCGGTAGGACCCAGCCCCTGCCGAGCAGACTCCCTCCGGAGCTCGGAGGGAGTCCGCCATTCGGCGATGGCGCCAACCCGGAAGTCCTCCTGGAGCAAAACTTGTAAGGTGGAGAAGAGAGAATTCTGGTGGATTCTGCTGAAATGCATGGGAGAAACGTCTGGGCTAGGATGGCTAGCAATCCTATACACCCTCTGGGTTGGCTTCAAGTATGTCCTACTCAGAGTAAGCCCATTTAAATGAATAAGCCAATGTTAGTCATGCTTATTGACTTCAATGAGTCTGTTCTGAGCAGGACTTGAAATACTACCCGCTTTTGCCAGAATAAATGTTAATGAAAATGGGATTGAAGAGAGAATTCTGGAGGCTTTTATTGAACTGCAGGGGCTCCTAGGAGAGGGGTGGCGGGAGATTTATTAAACTGTTTTCTGATGTTTGTCTCCGCAACTTCTGCATGCATTCCAAGTCCTTTGGGTGAGTGAGACTCAGCCTTATCTGCCATGGCAGCCAGACAACTGAAGAACCGGGAACAGGGCCAACGGCCAAGGAGAGGGAACATGACAGGAACATTTCTGACAGAGTCCCACTCCTCAAATGGGAAGAGGAAGTGAAGACAGATTGTTTTCTTAATCTCTTCCGAAACCCCCTAGCCTCCATCCCATGTTCTCAGGGGCTGTGGATGGGTGTCCAATGGTCCCGTGGGAATGTGCATCACAGGGGAGGGTTGGGCTCCGGCTGCGATGCTCCTTGGAGTCTGAACTTTTGTGTCTTACAGCGGGAAAGGGGCTCCGAAAGCAACAACTTCAGAGCTGAAACCTCTCCATGGAGCGGGGAAAGGGTGCACACTCCGCGTTTCCATACCCGGTCGCTAGGGGGCGGCGGTGCCTCGACGCCGCTTGGTATCCTCCCAGAGGACTAGTGACTTGACCTGGAGGCAGGATCGACCAGGGCGTGGGGCCGGGACTTTGTGCCACGTCGCACCCTTCACTCGTGTTGACATTACCTCCAGCCACGTAAGCCGTCGGCCCTGAATTCTCTCTGCGAAAGCGCCATTCATTCGTAAAGCAAAGGGAACCGGGTGCCCGCGCGCAATAAATGTTGGAAAAGATGTCCAGCTTCCCTCTTGGCCTCCAGAGAGCTCAGGAGTCCCGGATTCCACCCCACCCACCACCCTCATGCCTATTTAGAGATCAGTGTAAATTCTGTTCATGCTGGACTTTCCTGCTTTTTACGCATGGGTTGCTACTAAGGGTGGGAGAGGCTTCAGATTCAGATTCATTCACTGGCTTTCGAATGAGTGAGGCTGACATGAAGCTCATAAAAAAAAACTCGCTTCCTCCACTTCTCCTTGGAAAACGGCTCCTTAAATCGGCAGCCACGAATTATACCCTTCCTTTTAAAAAATATAAATTCCCATGGCGGGAAGACTCTGTCTCCCATTTAACCCAACTCTTCGGGCAGCAGTGATCTCGAGCTATAGCACCTGAATTTCCTGGAAAGGAAACACGCCCATTTGCAGACGCAAAAGAGAGAAAACGAAACCATCTCTCTCTTCCGGGCGAGGCAGCAGCCATGGCTGCTTCTGGGGGTCCCGAGCAGGATCTCTGAGAGGAAGTTACTTGCCCCATCTGCCTGGAGTGTTTCAGGGATCCGGTGATCATCCCGGAGTGCGGGCACAACTTCTGCCGATCCTGCCTGATCCAGTGCTGGGGGGAATCCGAGGGAGAGGCTTCCTGCCCTCAGTGCAGGGAAATCATTCAGCACAGGAACCTCATCCCCAATCGGCCGCTGGCAAATGTTTTGGAAAAACTTACACTCGGGAAACTCCGTCTTCATGGGGGAAAGGGGGCCGAAGGAAAGGGGAAGATCTGCGAGAAGCACCAGGAGCCCCTGAAGCTCTTCTGCAAGGAGGACGAAAGCCCCATCTGTGTCGTGTGTATTGCGTCCAAGGAGCACAAAAGCCACGAGGCGATTCTTCTGGAAGAGGCTTTCGAGGAGTACAAGGTAAGAAATCTCTCTGGATTTCCTTTGGGTTTGATGAGGGCGAAATAGCTACAGAGAAGGGGGTTTTGCAGGACAATGTTTTAATATATTCTCCCCCTCCTGCAGACAAAGAGTCTCTTGTCAGTAAACTTCTGAAACTCTGTTCAATTTATTTTTACCGTTCTGGGGATTACAGTGCCCCTAATGTCCCCCTGCAGGAGAAACTCACCCCCAGTTCATCCTCTGGAAGCAGCTCCCTTAGGAAAGGGCTGGAGGGAGGAGCAATGGAGGTGGCAGGGATAGAATCACAGAATGGTGGAGTTGGAAGGGACCCTGAGGGCCATCTAGTCCAACCCCCCGCAATGCAGGAATTCTGCCCACAGCCGTCCCTGGTTGGGCTCCAACCACCAACCTTCTGGTTGACAGCCAGACACACTGACCCATTGCGCCACAGGCTCCCAGGATGACGAAGGCAAAGACCACAGTCTTTGGGGCAGGGAGCAAGCATCTGATTCAACTTTCCTGTTATTATGAATACTAAAACTCCAACAAAGAAAAACAACAACCAAAGTTTGATTTTCTTTTCTTTTCAGGGACAGATAAGCAGCTGCCTAGACAATGTGAAGAAGGAGAGAGAGAAAATTCTGGAATTTAAAGCGGGCACAGAAAAGGAAAGTCAAGACCTGCTTGTAAGCATTATTTTTATTTAAGGTGAAAAATGTTATGCAGTAGTACCTCGTGTTACACAACCCTCTGGTTATGTAAACTTCAGGATGCGAACATGGCAAACCCAGAAGTATTTTTCTGGGTTTCACTGCGCGCATGCGCAGAAGCGGCCTATCACGCACATGCGCAGAACAGGCACCTCCAGTTGCTGAAACTTTGAGATCCGGCTGGAGCTCCGGAATGGATCCCATCCGCAACCCGGAGGTAATACTGTAGTATAATATCTGGGGAAAAATGAAGATGGAATACAGAAAGAAGTTTACAGTATTTTTGAACAGTCTGATCACACACAGGGCATGAAAGACCATTTGAAGGTGGGGGTGGGCTTGTAAATTTTTATGAAACTCTTTTCCTGCTGGAGTGATCTCTCTAAAATGGCAGACATGCCCTTCCAAGTGAATTCTAATAACTGGTCTCTTCATCCTGCAGTATTATGCCTAATATTGGCCTGGTTTTCTCCTCCTCTTTCTCTTTTTGCTGGTGCAGAAGCAAACAAAATCAAAATCTGGGAAAATAAATATGAAATACAGAAAGAGGTTTATTTTTGAATGGTCTGATCTCCCACAGAGCCTGAAAGACCATTTAAAGGAGGGGTTGGGCTTGCAAGTTTTTGTTGGGTTTGGAACTTAACAGGTTAAGTTGTTCCCATGATGCCTCAACATTCTGACGTCAGCTTTAGAAGCTGGGAGGAGTCTGGGAGGAGTTACGCTCTGTTCCTCTCTGGTCTCTGTGAGAAAGAGGTCGCAGTTCGTCATGGCTGAGGTGAGCCCAGGAGATTCCTGGGGAATGTCGGAATAAAGAACTGAAATGGACAAACCTGGTCTCTGTGTGTTTGTCTGAAGCTAAGTGAAGCTACGTGACAGTTTTCACCGCTGTGTTCAACTCTGCTGAGGCGTGACTGGAGAGCTACTGGAGACGGAGCTGAGTGGCGCAGCGGAAGCGCGCCGGGCATAAAGAGCTAATTGTGGACCGTAAATCAATTAGCGGGGGTCACGCCAAACCAATAAATCAATTCCACAGGTTATGGACCCTTAATCACCGATCGTAAAACTGTCACAGCAACGGAGCTGCCGGAATGCGTTTGAAGTCTGCGGTCTGAAGCAGAGACGCTGGCAGGAGTTTTTGCCTGTGCTGAGAGCTGAGTGCTGGGAGCTGAAGAGCAGCTGGAAAATCGTTTCTCCACGGATGGGTGCCGGAGGAGCTTGTGATCTGTGAGTACAGCTTGGGGCCCCTTGGGAGAACGGAAGACAATGGCAGACAGCCAGGTCTTGGAGGACGTTCCGATTGAACAGCTCACTCTAAGAAGTTGGGCAAGGGCGTAAAGTCAGCAAGGGCTGCCTGGGATGTGCTGTGAAGCTTCAGCAGGAGGCCAGAGCCCTGGAGAAAGCATTGAGAAAAGCCTAGAGATGGCTGGAGCCCCTGTTCCTGATGTTTTAGCCTCAAGGAGTGCTAGTGAGCAGATTGGGGGGGGCGAAGAATTCCAAAGGCAAGTGTAAAGGCTTGTCCACTGTGCGTGCTGGAGTGGAATGTCAACAAAGCAGGTTCCCAGAAAGCCGCAGTGGGAGCCAGGCCAGAGGGGGCGGAGCTGGCAAGGAGTGCTTTTCCGGAAGAAGGAGAAGGAAGCCAGCTGGGAGGAGCCCCGGGCAGTGTTTTTCCACTGGAGTTCGTCGTTGCTGCCCATGGAGAGCGGAGACAGCTGGGCAGGAAGGTCCCAAGGTCAACCAGCTGAGTTCCCATGGGAGTCAGTCTCGGAGAGGAGGCCAGCGTGGGAACGCAAGGGAAAGACGTGGTTCAGACGCTGGGGAGGGTTGTTTTCTTATCACTGCTTCTATGGCAACTGTGAAGAACAACTCCAGCCAGGACACGGTGACACGCTGAGTTTTGAATACTGCTTTTGGTCAGCACCTGCTAAGCGAGCCTGCTGGCGAAATGCGGAACTGCAGGGCTGTTTCAACAGGACACAACTGTGATGTTAGCAGACGGAATGAGAAAGTCGGTTTCTGCTGTGGCTAACATGTTTTTTTCTCCTTTACAGGAGGAGCTAGAGGTCTACGTTGGGGGGAAACAAGTGGCCAACGTGAAAAGGGGGCAGAACAATCTCTTTGTTCTGGAGTCACCTCTGGAGGGTGGTGGGAATGCTGGAAAAGCACAGGCGCAGTGTGCTAAGGTTCCCAGTCATGTGCAAAAGCTGCACAGGTGCACAAAAGGGTACAAACTCCGGAAATGTGGGAGGTCCCTAGGGTGCAGGGCATGCAAGGGTGCACAGGTACATGGTTTTCCCGGGTTTGGGAGGGTAGCCAAAGAGCCCTTTGAGCTCTTTGAGGCAGGTGGTCCAAAGGTTCAGGAAATGATCTTCTGTGGATATGATCCTGCAACCAATGGGTGGAAGTTTGCATACCCAGAGGGTGATCAAACCAAGCTGCTGGTCAGTAAGCAGGCTGAGTTCTGTGAACAGGATGGGTGTTCAAGACTCAGGGATAGTTCTGATTTTCTCTCAGAATGTCTGTCTGATTCTGAGGAGGAAAGGGAGCCAGAGGCTGATCCCGGTGATAGGGACCAGGTCCAGGATCAGGGTTCAGAACCCGGTGATGGGGACCAGGTCCAGGATCAGGGTTCAGGGCAGGTCTGGGCATCTCCAAAGGTTGTGAAAGGAGTGTCCAGGTGTGAGGCTTCATCTCCGGTTAGCGTAATGGAGAAAGCTCACAAACAGGGTGTCAAGTCAGAGGGGGAAGGATCTGACGGAGAAGACACAACTGCTGGCCCAAATGGGTCAGTAGGGTATCAGGTCACAAGTGCGTGGAAAAGTGTCGCACAGTGTGATTCTGGGAGTGTTGAAGGGGTTCAACAGGTGCCTGGGAAAGATGCCGGGAAGTGGCATAAGGCAAAGGGGAAGGTGTTGAACTCAAAAAGGTCTTGTCAGAATGGTTCGGCAAGAGGGGGTGTTGGGTTTGGAACTTAACAGGTTAAGTTGTTCCCATGATGCCTCAACATTCTGACGTCAGCTTTAGAAGCTGGGAGGAGTCTGGGAGGAGTTACGCTCTGTTCCTCTCTGGTCTCTGTGAGAAAGAGGTCGCAGTTCGTCATGGCTGCGGTGAGCCCAGGAGATTCCTGGGGAATGTCGGAATAAAGAACTGAAATGGACAAACCTGGTCTCTGTGTGTTTGTCTGAAGCTAAGTGAAGCTACGTGACAGTTTTCACCGCTGTGTTCAACTCTGCTGAGGCGTGACTGGAGAGCTACTGGAGACGGAGCTGAGTGGCGCAGCGGAAGCGCGCCGGGCATAAAGAGCTAATTGTGGACCGTAAATCAATTAGCGGGGGTCACGCCAAACCAATAAATCAATTTAACAGTTTTTACGAAGCTCTTTCTCTGCTGAATATGTCAGAAGTGGCCTTCCAAGGGAATTGGGATAACTGGCCTCTTTATCCTGCAAGAGCAGACTAGATGCCTGATATTGGCCCACTGTTCTCTTTTTTCAATCGCTTTGCTGCAGAAACAAACAGGTGCAGAGAGGGAAAAGATGGTGGCTGAGTTCAGGCGACTGCACCAGTTTCTGGAAGAACAGGAGAAACGTATTCTGGCCCAGATGGCAGAAGTGGAGAAGGAGATTGCAGCCAAAAGGGAGGCGCACCTGGCCAGACTCTCCAGGGAACTCTCCTCTCTTGACAGCCTCATCCGGGAGATGGAGGAGAAGCTTCAGGAACCAGCGAGTGAACTCCTTCAGGTGAGGCCTCATCCTGATGTGACAGGGTGGAGTGTGCTGCTTCAGACTACAGGCATTTCTTAGTCCTTCCCCACATAAAAATACTGTTGTCAGAGGAACAAGCAGTACATGACATAGCAGCTAACTCCGAGAGGCCAAGGTCCCTTAGACTGCCCAATAAAATATTTGAGGGGGCCAGCCCCCCCCCCCACCAATAATGGGCATTTCTATTGAAATGGGGTTTGTGTGCTGCATCTTGTGATTGATTATGTGGGGCGTAGCTTACCTGCCCACCCCCCAATATCTTCTTCAAGTTGTCACTAGATCAAAGCACAGGCCCTTTCTGTCCTGCTTCCTGTTCTTTCATTGGCCAACCAGAGGTCTCAGGGAAGCCCACAAGCCAATAGGGCTCTGTATTCAATTAACCTTTACTCAGAGTAGACTATCTTAGGTCCATTCATTTCAGTGTGCCTGAGTAAAAGCGAGTTGAAAACAACCGACACAGGCATTCCAAATTGGCACTGCAACATCTTTTCATTCAGATGCTGTCTTGTGTCCAGCCAGAGAGGGGGTGACCTATTATTATTATTATTATTATTATTATTATTATTAAAATAAGTTTGTGTACCACCCAATACCCACAGGTCTCAGGGTGGTTCATAGGATATGATTGAGTGCGGGATGTACATAGCAGTGAACCGATTAGTTGCATGTGAACACGGAACCAGCATGCGCTGCAGGGCAAAATGGCAAATCAGGGAGGTGGGATTGAATCTCTCAGGTGTTCGGGTGACTTGGTCAAAAGAGAAGAAAGGGGCCTTTTATTAGTCATCACTGGAATGGCTGACTTTTGCCATCTGATGGTTATTCCAAAATTATATGGCGTAGTGTATTTTATTGGGGGTCTTTTGTTTTGTGCTTGGCTAACCTCTCTCTGCTTCAGCTGCTTAGTATAACTGACCGCAGGGCTCTCTGCAGAAATGGCTCCACGGATATATTTTTCTTTCCTTCTTTCCAGGATATCAGAAGCTTCTTGCAGAGGTAAGTGATGGAAATCTACTGCTTTAAGATAATGTACAGTGGTACCTCGGGTTACATGCACTTCAGGTTACATACGCTTCAGGTTACAGACTCCGCTAACTCAGAAATAGTACCTCAGGTTAAGAACTTTGCTTCAGGATGAGAACAGAAATTGGGCTCTGGTGGCGCAGCTGCAGCAGGGGGCCCATTAGCTAAAGTGGCGCTTCAGGTTAAGAACAGTTTCAGGTTAAGGATGGACCTCCAGAACGAATTAAGTACTTAACCCGAGGTACCACTGTATTGGGAAAGTTCCTGTTTAACAAGTGAGAAACTCACTCTCCAGTTCCTCCTTCCGGAGATAGCTTAGGACTCCACCGTCCATTTCACAAAATCACAGACAAAAGAAGAGACATATTTTTGTGGTAGTTTGTTGCTACAATCACAGACAGGAAGCCGTTCCCATTGCATATTTCTGAAGGTCCATTTCTGTGATGGATTCATTTACTCTGCAACTGATACAAAAAGGGGACACCCTAAAGGTGCTTGTAAATATCTTTACTATAACTTACCCTTAAATATTCAGTGTATTTCAGGCTCCTGCAGTTTCTTCCTCAGCCATAAGAAGGTGAGAAAGGGCCCTGCTGGATCAGGCCAGTGGTCCATCTAGTCCAGCATCCTGTTTTCACAGTGACTAACCAGATGCCAGTGGGAAACCAGTGGGCAGGATCTGAGCCCCAGAGGACACTCTGCTCTGGTGGTTTCAGCAACTGGAGTTCAGAGGCACCACTGCCTTTGACTCAGCCATTGTGAAGAGTAGCCGCTGAGAGCCTTCTCCCCCAAACACCTACAACATGTTCAAAAATTAAAGAATTTTGAAAATCTTGCATGTTTAGAAAATACTGCTTTAATTTCTAATATTTTCTCCATTTTTAAAATATAACCACTGTGCTAAAATACATTTATAATGTTAATTGCAAAAGCCATTCTAAAGCATTCTGAACTTCCTTATATTTCAGAAATGCACATACCAGATCTATTTTGTTTTCCTCATTAATCACTTGAAATGCTTCACTAAAACTGGTGTAGTCCTAAAATCTCTGCATAAGGACCCAGTATGGTTCACTTTTCTTAAAAAAATAATAATGGGTATACATCAGCTTCTTTATCTTCAATCTCCTATTCATATATTTCATTCAAAATTCAAAAGCAGGTGTCTTTCGGTTTTCCTTCAACTTCTTAGATGCTTTCTAGATCCACACGTCAGCTAGATGCTCCTTTTTGCCGTAGGAAAATCCTGCTCCCAAGTCTTCATGATATTTCCATGGTGCATTTATCATCAGGATGAGACACCTGTCTTCTCAGAAAGCTCCTTGCATTGGAAGGATGGTGGCTTCAGCAGAGTTCGCACAGCGAAAGACGCACTCAGGAGAGCATATTTACAAGTTTATTCAGCGTTGGTCAGAACAAAGAAAAAACATGACTGCCTGCTTCAGTGTCTCAGACACAGAGAGAGAAACGAAAGCAAGAGACAATACATAAACTTCCTGTGAACAGGAAATACGCAGACTCTGTGACTCACAAAGCCTGCTCCCTTTTAAGGTGAAACGGAAATATCCTAAGCCCAAGCCAGGGAAAAGCATTACTTTACTGCTGTACGCGGCTCCCTCAGCCAGTAAAGCGAGATGAGAACTGCAACCCCAGAGTCGGCTACGACTGGACCTAATGGTCAGGGGTCCCTTTACCTTTACCTTAAAGAAGGGCTGAAAGTACTTTGTACTGGATGTTTAGAAGTGTTCATGACAGGCTCCAGGTCATACGGAATATTAGCCATGCCTGGAAAATAGAAGGCTTATTTATTTATTCTCTTTCAATATCTAGAAACCACACTTTGCTATGTAGATGACTCACAACTGATTTTATTTAGGCAATTGAAAGAGGAGGATAAACCCTTCTTGCGGGGCTCTGGAAGCTCCTGCGAGATCTTGGGGGAGCCTCCCAGATTCCAGTCAGCAAGGTAAAGGGCTTGAAAGCTCTTGCCATGAAGGGTTTGGCCACCGTGCAAATCGCTTTTAAGACCTTACTTGGTTCTGAGAGGCTCCTGCGAGATCTCAAGGGACCGTTTTGAGATCTCTGATGGCAGGGGTGATTCCGGGAGTCATTCTGACTTTGCACCATTTGCCTTTATGCACAATCTTCAGGAATGTAAGCCTCCCTCAAGTGGTGAGTGTCTGTAAAAAGTTGTACTTGAACTCTTCACATCTCTCAGCCAGGCTTTGGGTGCTTTCACACATCTCACTTTTCGGGCATTTCACCTGTTTCTTTGGCCCTGAGATTGATGTAAGGGGGGCAGAAGGAGAGAGGAGGGCTGTCCAGGAGCCAGCCAGGAGCAGAGGGGACTGGGGTTGAGGCCTCCCATCCTGGAACAGGGGTGTCTGGACCTTGTTGTTGATGGGGAGATCTTCTGGGGGTCCTGCTCCTCCTCCCAAGATTTGGGCAGGACTGACCTTTGACATCACCCCTGCCCTGGTTATGCAGGGATAGCCAGTATGGAGACCTTCAAATAGTTTTAACTACAACTCCCATAATCTCCAGCTGGTGTGGCCAGTGGTTAGGGAGGATGGGACTTGTAGTCCACAACACCTGGCTACTATCTCATGAGCTCATATTGTTCATTCCAGGTTTGTTGTCTGAATGATGGTGTGATGCTAAATCTCTGTTCCCTTTTCTCTCCCAGACACTGTGGAATATGGACTTAAGCTGCGAAAAGGTACATTTCCGGGTGAAGCACAGACACTAATTAGGGAGAGATGGGATCCGCATCTCAAAAGACCAGGCCACTGCACCTCTTCCGTCCATGCCGTATTTTCCCTTATTTCCCAGAGGCATCTGTTCCGTGAGAGCAGCTTGCTGGGCTACAGGGGCTCATGGCCTGATCCTGCAGACTCTTAGGAAGCCCACAGCCCAGGATGGCTGGCTTTTCTGTGCCGAATCTCAATAAGACACAGGGGTGGTGTGAAGCCAAAGGCTCCCGGCACATGAGGGGGAAATATCCCTTTGAGCCATACAAGATCCCCACCCCTTTTATGTAAGAGTGGGAAATGCATGAACACAAATAGCTCAGAAAATGGCTGCAACAACCTTTGGGGGCTAGAAGGTGAATGGGTTCTGGTGTCAGTGGAGGGAGCTGGGGGCTGCCTGAGTGTGAACTGCAGTGGTTCAGCGTCCCTGCAAGATTGGGGGTCTTCCCTCAGCTTTTGTATTGGAGGGGAGACATGACTTCTCTGCTAAAACAAGAGAAAGTTGAGTAAACCTAAAAGAGCAGGGCAGAATTACACCACAGACCAGGGGAAAAGGCTCAATGGCAAGATAGAAGTCCAGTCTGGCCTGATTCTGGACACCACAAAAAGGGAATCATAAGAGCTGGAAAAGATGTAAAAATGGCAGCATAAAGGAAACTCTTATTTACCTTTAAAATCATATTCTGGGATTCTTTTAGAAAACACTTAGTAAAATACATAAAAGTTAATCAATACAATAAACTAGAAAAACACATTACATTTAACAAAACAAAAAACTAATAGCAGCACTGGCAACATCCAATATCCCACATAATTTCCAAAGTGCAAAAGTGTGTTTTTAAAAAGAAATCACTTGATTACTTTCCGTAACGTGGCAGGGGTAGGGAGGACTGCAGAGCAGATCTTCTTTCTAATGTCCACCAGCCTGACCAATTTTTAAATTGGTTTCTCGTGATGCTTCCACTGCCCCCCTTTTCCATAAATGTGAGGAACAGTGAAGAAAAAGATGAATTATATAGCCAAATCAGGTCTGGGGAGCCAGGATGGGGTCTTTGCATTGAAGGTGACAAATGTGTGTGTGTGTGTGTGTGTGTGAATGCATTAACGATTAACACAATTCATAGGAAAAGAAAGCCATTCATATCAACGATGTAATAGAACCATCAATATTCTGCGTTGCTCTAACCAAACTGCAAGCTAAAATTGAGTTTGTTCTTGGCTAACTGCTTATAGTTTTCCTGGGGGAAACAAACCATAGGCCCAAACACCTGCCAGGGACTACTGCATTGCACTGCAGAACATGGAATGGAGTCCCTCAGATGGTGGTAGACTCTTCATCTTTGGAGGTTTTTAAGCAGAGGTTGGGTGGCCCCCTGTCGTGCATGCTTTAGTTGGGATCCCTACATAGCAGGGGGTTGGACTAGAGGACCCTTCTGCCATGAACTGTGGGTTTGGCCTTAGACAAGCCACTGTCTCTCAGCTTCAGTCCTCCCATCTGAAAAATGGCCATAGTAAGATTGACTTAACTTACTGGGAACTTGCAAGGGTTCTATGTAGAGAATGTGTGTTAAGTACTTCAAACACTTGAAAGAACTGCAAATATTTCAAGAATCATTAAGAACCTGTCCTGAATGCAGAGCCATGGAGACCCTGTTCATTTCAGAGCGGATGCTATTTCTGTCATGTACCTAAAACAGAGTCAGCTTCCCCGTTGACGTCGTTTCTCTTCTCTTTCCTCCTCTGCCCCCACAGAAAACGTAACTTTGGATCCAGACACAGCAAATCCTTACCTCATCCTGTCTGAGGATCGAAAGAGTGTGAGAGATGGAGAAGTGCGTAGACGCCTGCCGAACAACCCTGAGAGATTTGACACACATGGCGATGTGCTGGGATGTGAGGGTTTCACATCAGGCAGACATTTCTGGGAGGTCATTGTGGGAAGAGAGGAGGGGTGGGGGGTGGGGGTGGCCAGAAAGTCTGTGAAGAGGAAGGGTGATTTAGGTTTTGATACTACGGAAGGGATCTGGGGTTTGGGGAAGTGGGACGGTGGGTACAAGTTATGCTCCCCCTATGAGGACCCTGTTCCAAGTGAGGAGCCTGAGAGGATCCGAGTGACCCTGAACTGTGAAGGGAGACGGGTGTCCTTTTACGATGCAGATACAGCAGCCCTTCTCCATGCAGATACAGCAGCCCCCTTCTCAGGAGAGACCCTCCAGCCCTACTTTTATGTGAGCGAGAAAGCGAACCTGAGACTCTCTTGACTGAAGGTGCAGACAGACAAGCATATATTCACTGTCATCATGGCACATTCAGTCTCCTCTTCAGGACTGAGCTGACAGGCACTTCAGGAGAAACCATATTTGCAGAACGGTGATTGGCCATCCCTTGTGTCAATCATGATGCAACTCTCAGGCCAGCTTTGTAAATGACACTGATTGATTGGGTCCCCTGTCAGTCCCCAAACTTGCCTGTTTTCTCTCCCTTGGGAATAGGCTACTTCTGTCAGTGCAGGAGGTGCAAAGGGGGAAAGAAGCAAGAAAATAATTTAGGAAACAACAGCAACACACACCCTGCAATATTCCTGTTTTGATGTTCTCTCTCCAACCTCCAACTTGAGTTTTCTAGAGACAATACCATCATCTTTTATGAATAAAACCAGAATTATGCACGGGCATCACTTAAAACCTTCCTCAGCCTCAATCCCTTTCTCAGATTCCCTTTCCTTCCCCAAAACCTCCACTGACCATGAATGGAAGTTCCAAAATCCCCCCCCCCTTTTTTTTCTTTTTTTTTTGCTGCTACTCAGGGAAGCTTATGTGGCAATATAGCAAAATCAGAGACCTGTTTGCTAGTCGGTCCAGAACGCACAACTTACTTGTGTGATTGCAGCCTGGAGCACTTTGTCTAAACAAATAAATAAATAAATAAATAAATAGAAAGAGGGTGAGAGATGGGAAAACCTCTTGGAAGGGACTGTGTGAGATCTCACAAGAGTCTCCAAAGCCCAGAAGGCAATTGGGGGGGGGGGGCGCTTTGGCAGTGGGAGAAAGGGTTTCTAAGTCCACCTTGCTTACTGGCCTCTACAAAGGTTGCATAAAGCTCTCAAGATCTCTGGCTTCGGACACGTAGGGATGGTTGCTTGGGGCGCATTTTCGGGGGTCTTCCTGACTTATCCAATATTGCTTTTGCATTCTGACCCCAGAAACATAATCCCCCCACAGGTTTTGGGCCTTGATGTAACAAAATCCCCTCTGACAGTGAAGAGCCTCTGTCAGAAGTTCTGAGGAGAGAACAGTGACAATCTAGAGGATTTTGGGGAGTGGGTTTTCCCCCTGTAAATTCCCATGTATACAATTATATTCTCCAAGGTGCTTTGTAGTGAACAGTCAGATACTTATCTGTATTTTTAGAGATCACCTCTTCTTTTTTTGTTTATACAGTGGTACCTCAGGTTACAGATGCTTCAGGTTACAGACTCCGCTAACCCAGAAATAGTACCTCGGGTTAAGAACTTTCCTTCAGGATGAGAACAGAAATCGTGTGGTGGCAGCAGGAGGCCCCATTAGCTAAAGTGGTGCTTCAGGTTAAGAACTGTTTCAGGTTAAGAACAGACCTCCAGAATGAATTAAGTTCTTAACCAGAGGTACCACTATGTGTGTGTGTGTGTGTGTGTGTAAAATTTTGCAGCACAGGCACACACATTCATACAACTAAACATAAAAGTAGTAAAAGACAAGGTAAAAAGACATTAAAAGATAAAAGATAAGAATACTAGTGAAAAGAATAAGCAATATCAGCATAGCATACAAAAACTCATACAATACAAATAATAAACTATTGCTCCAGAAGCGGTTTAGTCCTGCTGGCCCCATGACCCGGAAAGCTGTCTGTGGACAAATGCTGTCTCTCCCGGCCTGAAAGGAAGATGAGTGCCGCAACCCCATACTTGCCTTTGACTGGACTTAACCATCCAGGGGTCCCTTACCTTACCTTACCTTTACCTTTTTATATTTCAATTATTTTCTTTTTTCTTTTTTTAAATAATGTTTATTAAAATTTTCAAAAATACAGAAAGTAAAAATTAAAATACATTCAGATCCTTTTTTTCATATATCCACTTTCTGGGACTCCCCCCTTCCCCCACCCCTATCATATTCATTTTTCATGTTGTTGGCTCCACAAGCTCTCGGTTCTGATTAAAAACTTAATTTGTTTAAACCATTATTCGAATTTAAAATTTCTAGATTCCTCATCAATACCCTTAATAAAAAACCAAAAACTTCTTTCCCAGGGCCCACCCCATTTTCATTCCACAATTTCCCTTTTTTTTTTTTAGTAATAAAGACACCCCACATAATAGAAATATCAGAAATAAGAAATAAAAGATATAATAGATGAAACAAAGCCAGTTCAAAAAAAAGAAGTTGACAAGCCTTTGGATTTTAGTTCTCCCCCTCTGTCCCCGGTTTAATTTCCCCCTGACCACCAAACCATGTTATCCGCCTGGAATTCTTACAATCCATAAATCGCCTATTTCCCCCAACTCCTTGCTGGCTCTTTTTTTTTTTTTTTTTTCCCCTTTCATAATTATTTTTTAAAACACTTAACTTCAGATCTTTAATAAAGCTCCCCCCATTGTTCTTTCCAAATTGTAGTCCAGTTTCCTCTTGTTCCGCTGCTGAAACGTTCTAATTCAGAAGCTTAGTAAGTCTGCAGGGATTCTTGTTATTCAGGAACAAAAACTTGCGTTCAGTCCCTTCCTTTCTTCAATAGAAAATTCTATTGTCTCCTTTAGCTGAACACCCTGTAGACAAAATATTATTTCCGTTTTGCAGCTTTCCCAGAAGATAACCAGTTCTGTAAAATTCCAATGGTATTTTTCCACTTACGACCATCTTTGTAATGTCCCGAAACTCCTCTAGGGGGATTGTTGTAACTTTGTTTTCTCTAGTCCAAAAGTCCGATTGTTATCCATATTTTCGCCATTTTGTATCCAAGTTTTAACAAGTTGTAACAAATTGTATCAAATTTAGCCAGCAAAGTTCTCATAATAAAATCCTCTCTACTTTCCGACTTTGACAGCTACTTTGACAGCTGTCAAAATCTCCGACTCTTTTCACCAGGCTCTCTCTTCAATCACCCCGGTTCCCAGGGGGGGGGGGTTACGTTTCTTCTCCCTCAATTCGTCCTCCAGCACAGTTCTTATAATTCCCCATCGTGGAATTCTTAGTTTTTATCAGCAATACAAATCTTTTTGGACCTTGGTTTCCCCGTCCTTGTCTTGGAAGGTTTACAATAGGGGGGGGGACTGACTTCCTTTTTGGATCCCCCCCCCGCTCGTGTCCAATTCAAAAAGAAATTCTTTTTTTTCCTCCTTTTAAACCCAGTTTCCAAATTACTCACGGGTTGTTGTTAAAAAGTCCGAATTTTCAATGGAAGAAGTCAGCGCTCTCCGCCGGATGGCATGCGGCTGCGCTCGGCAGGGATAGCAGAGGACTCAAAGCACCACGCTTCTCCCCGGCACCCGATCCGTAGCCTTTAAAAAGGCTCCTTCACGAGTCGGGAGGGCGCTGACGGTGCCAGCCGAGTCTCCATGTCCACGGCCCTCGTGGCCGTGGTTTTTAAGGGTCCCCGCATCGCCGGTGCGGTAGGACCCAGCCCCTGCCGAGCAGGCTCCCTCCGGAGCTCGGAGGGAGTCCGCCATTCGGCGATGGCGCCAACCCGGAAGTATATTTCAATTATTTTCTTCCAGTTGACTTCCTTCATCCTCAGCACAGTTGCATTTTCATTTTTGATAAATTGTTTCCTCCTTTTTGTATATTTTTTACCCATCTTTATTTTTGTTTTTATTTTTTTTTATTTGAGGGCACTGCTTTTTAAGGTAATCCCTGTATTTTCCCCATTCTTTTTGAAATTTTTGTTTGGGCTGCCCCCTAATTGCATCTGTCATTCTAGCCAATTCTATATAATCAAATAATTTATCTTGCCATTCTTTTCTTGTTGGTGTTATTTCTTTTTTTCAATATTTAGCAATTAATGTTTTCGCAGCTGTAGTAGCATAAAGGAATATTTTCTTATTTTCTCTGGCTATATTCGTATCTAATATCCCCAATAAAAAAGCTTCTGTTTTCTTAACAAAGTTTTCTTTAAACATTTTCTTTAGCTCTTCGTATACCATGTCCCAAAAGCTTCCAATTTTGTCACATGTCCACCACACATGTAGTAGTGTCCCTCTACAGTGGGACCTCGGGTTTAGTACTTAATTCGTTCCGGAGGTCTGTTCTTAACCTGAAACTGTTCTTAACCTGAAGCATCACTTTAGCTAATGGGGCTAACCCAAGGTACCACTGTACAAATTTAAATCAGGTAATGCCAATCCACCCCTATTTTTTTATCTATTAAAAGTTTATACTGCCAAATAAATTTTTTTATACTGCCAAATAAACTTTGATAGATCTTTTTGCCAAGATTTAAATCCCACCCCTCCAATGATTGGTATCATTTGAAATAAGAACATCATTTTAGGCAACACTTTCATTTTCACAACTGATATCCTGCCACACATTGATCATCTTAACTTATCTTAACTATAAATTTCCAAATCTCTCTTGAATTATTTCCATATTTTTATATAGTTATCCTTGAATAGGTTACTGTTTTTAATCGTCGGCCAAATTCCCAAGTACTTAGTTTGGTTTACTATTGTTAATCCTGATATCTTCTGCAGTTCTTCTTTTTCCTGCATTGACGTATTTTTGCTAACATATTGGTTTTATTCTTGTTTAGTTTAAATCCTGTCACTTTTCCTAATTAAAGAATCCTTTATATTATTTTGGTACACTCTCTTCTGGATTTTTGGTAGTTAGGATCAGATCATCTGCAAAGGCCTTCATCTTATGTGATTCCTTTCCCACTGTTATACTTTTTATATTTTGATCTTACCTTATTGCGTTCACAATAAATACTAAAGGTGAAAGAGGACAGCCTTGCCTGCTCCCTTTACTTATCTTTAAATCTTCCATTATTTCAATATTAAGGATCAGTTTGGCTCTCTGGTTTCAATATATTGCCTCAATGCCTCTCTTAAAGTTTTCCCCGAGCCCTATTATTTCTATAGATTTTTTCATAAAGTTCCACAAGATATTATCTAAGGCAGGCACCCCCAAACTCAGCCCCCCAGATGTTTTGGGACTACAACTCCCATCATCCCTAGCTAACAGGAACTAGTGGTCAGGATGGTGGGAGTTGTAGTCCCAAAACATCTGGAGGGCTGAGTTTTGGAGATATCTGATCTAAGGCCTTCTCCTCATCACCTCTTCTTATCCTTTTGTATAACTGGAAGAATTTGTGGATATGTTTCATGTGCTAGCATGTTTGATTTTATTAAAGATTGTCCTTCTCATTGTTCCTTTGTTGTTTCAAACTCAACAGTATAATGGCCCCATCCATTCCCCATGACACTTCTCCAGGGATTTTAAGAGGGTGATATCAGAGAAACCCTGTGCGGTAGAAGAGGCTGAACTGAGAGACTTAGAAAAAAGGAAACACATTAAAGTTTGTGGTCAAAAGGGATTTGAACCTGGGCCTTGTCACCCCAAGTCTGGGCACTCAGAATTTGAAATCTTAACAAGGATCCCTTCAGAGATTTGCTTGACAGCCCTTCCTGCAAAGTTCCTGTATGTGGAAGCTCATATTCAGACTTTCTTGTGTTTACCGTGAATGTCTGCAGGAGGAGTTGATCCAGTTTGAGTGGCTGATTTCAGGGGCTTCCCTGCATAAACTCATATTTTGCACCTGGATCCATTTCTTGATCTCAGCATTCTGATTAAAAATGAAAGCAAATCCCCCAAGTCAGAAGTCTGCCCATCCCTTTATTTGTGGGAATCCCACCACCAGGAGAGAAGTGAGTCTCAGCCGTACCTGCCATTTCAGCGAGAGAGCAGCTACCCTATTGACACCCTATTTTTTTAAAATACAGTCAGTTGTGGGCAAAGTGAAGGGGGGATGAAAAGAATGCCAATTATAATAGTTCCCCGCCTTGTTTTCAACGGAAGCATAGCAACCACTGCCAAACAGATGGGGCAACAAATAGGGAGAGGCGTTTTCATTCAACATTTTTATCATGGTCTTCCGAATGGTAATTCGCAAGTCGGAAGAGGAAGTGAAGGCAGCACATCTTTCTAATCTCTTCTGAGCTCTATGGCACAAACAAGAAATCAAGCCTATAGCCCTGTGTCCTGGGATAAGTCCCTTTGAACTTACTGTTAAGTAGACATAGGAGTGCATTTTATTTTGTAGACAAAAAGGATTAGCTCACGGGTTTTGGTGATTGCCTAGAGAGAAAGGACTTGTTCATACAGCACATCATATGATTTTGGACACTAACTTACACATCCTTTTAAAGTTGGTGAGACGAAAGGTTTGAGACCAAAAGCCCTTTCCTGTGGTTCGCCTCTACAACTTCAGCTGATTCAGAGGTAGACTGCCTCTGCCCCAGGAGGTTTCATTGAGCAGGATGCTGTGCTCTGGCAGCACCAGAAATGACTCCCCTCTGACCTGGCCAACTGCTGCCGCTGGGTCTGTGCAGGTAACAGTTATAATTACTTCATAATCATTAATACAGGCTTAATGAATACAAGCAAAACATAAAGGCAGTCTGTGGGCCTGAGGATAAAGGTAAAGGGACCCCTGACTGTTAGGTCCAGTCGTGGACGACTGGGGTTGCGGCACTCATCTCGCTTTATTGGCTGAGGGAGCCGGCGTACAGCTTCCGGGTAATGTGCCCAGCAGGACTAAGTCGTTTCCAGTGAACCAGAGCAGCGCACGGAAACGCCGTTTACCTTCCTGCCGGAGCGGTACCTATTTATCTACTTGCTCTGCGTGCTTTCGAACTGCTAGGTTGGCAGGAGCAGGGACCGAGCAACGGGAGCTCACCCCGTCGCGGGGATTTGAACCGCCGACCTTCTGATCAGCAAGGCCTAGGGTCTGTGGTTTAACCCACAGCGCCACCCGCGTCCTATGGGCTTGAGGATACCCACCCCCCAAAAGCTTTTCAATGTGTCTCCTCCGACACCTCAGCCCTTCAGCTCCGGACTGGACATCTCCAACTCCACGGATCTCCTGCCCTGTTCAAAGGGAAGTATGGTGTGGGAGACAGGGAAGAAAGGATCAAGGGCCCACAGCAGAGGGCGGTGGTGAAGGTGCCATGTTCCAGCACTCCCTCCAACCTGAGGAACCAATATCCTATCAGCCAGCCCTGACTGGCGGTTAATGCCAGGTTGGCTGTGAATAAAGTTCCTCTCTTCCATGATTTGATTGGGGATGAGATAATAGGTAAAGGTAAAGGACCCCTGGACAGTTAAGTCCAGTCAAACGCAACTATGGGGTTGCGGCGCTCATCTCGCTTTCAGGCCAAGGGAGCTGGTGTTTGTCCACAGGCAGCTTTCCAGTGAAGAAGACAAATCAAATACGATACTCCTTTTCCTTATGGGAATGTCAGAGGAGCCCAGGTAGGAGTTTCAGTAGGCCGGAGGGAAACAGAACAATCAAGGCAAGTCGGAGCAAAGCGGCAGTTTCACCCGATCTTTATCTTCTGCTGCAGCAGGGTCTTTTCTTTCTTTTTTCTTCTTTTTTTCTTGCTGCAGCAGGGTCTTGACCCACTTATGCAAGATAGGCAAGAACCCTGAACAAAAGGATAAACACATATTTATAATTTCCCTCCTCAGGTGTCCCTCTCTCCTTCCCTTCCCCATCATGCGTGTCACAGAAATGTCAAGAGAGGAGGTGTCGGAGATAAGGTTACAGATAACGTTGACACAGGTGATGGTGGTTGATGTTTGAGTACTGTAGTTGATATTCATGTTTCCTTAACTACCTGGTGCTGGTGTCTGACCTTACTAATGACTATTTCCTCAGTGTCTTAGAAAAAGAAGTGACCTCATTCGACTCCTTTGCCTGGTTCTTTATCGCTAGCTGGCACAAATAGTCTTTTAAAAAAGAGTGCTTTAAAGAATGCAGCTTTTATTCTTTGAAGTCTTCGTCTCCAATCACCTCTGACACAGCTTTACACACCTCAAATGCAACCAACCAACAACCATCCCATATGCACAGTATATATATTTATAGCTGAAAGGCAGCATGTGTCATGCAGGCTTTGCCAATTCATGGTGGGCCTCAGTTCCTTTTGTTTCTTCGTTTAAAGAAACAGCAGCTACCTTTTAGGCCATGACATTTTGCTTCATAGGACAGATGCCAGACGCAATCGCTGAGCTGTGGACAACAACCCTTACTTGCAGTGCCTGGGTGTGAACAACTTCTCACCATCTTAGCTAGATGGGCCATTTTTGAGGGAGATGCTGCCCTTATTGGTGTCTGGTGTTTTATATAGTTTTGTGAATGGTTCATTCAATAAATGTGTGTGGATTTTATGAATGGATATAGTTTCCTTGCAGACCCGGTGGATGGAAGTGTGGGGCATACATCTTCGGAAATCAGACATTAGAAGGATTAATTCCTCAGTATACAGTGGTACAGGCGAAAATACATACGTGACTACATTTGTGGAAAACATTACTCTTAATCAGCCATTAACACATTTCACATCGTTGCCTTTTCTTCATATGTATACATTTGACATTAGCATTGAGTACTCTTTCACCACAGTGTCAGGTTTTGTTAGAGAAGACATATTTCATATAGAGTACCCGCCCCCTCATTTCAGTCTACATCACCGGGTCATGTGGTCAGCATGACTAGACGACTTATGGTGCAATGGAACACTGTGATGGAAACCAGAGTGCATGGAAATGTCATTTACCTTCTTGCCTATTTATCTACTTGCACTGGTAAGCTTTCAAACTGCTTAAGTTGGCAGGAGCTGGGACTCAGCAACGGGAGCTTACTCCGTTGCAGGGATTTGAACTGCCCACCTTATGATCTGCAAGCCCAAGAGGCTCAGTGGTTTAGACTACAATGTCACCCACGTCTGGTCTGTATTCCTGAGGCCTGGGTGGATAAACAAGATGGAGTTGGTCTCGCCCAGTTGTGCCTACCTGGGTACTTGTTTCAGCATCAGGGCAGACTTGAGAGCCAGCAAGTGGAGGGTTGCTGTGGTCCAGAGAGATTCCTCTTTCTCTCTCCAGATGAATAGGGATCTACAGTGTTCGTTCCTGGCACTGAGTAATTGGGACAGATATGGGATTCTGCTAGTTTACTGCTGGCCTCGCTCCCCAGCAGTCCCCCTGCCTGAGTGGCAGAGCCAGTCTTGGTGGCAGAGTTGGGGGCTCCCAGACTGCTGCATCTGGGGGGCTTCAACCTCCATGTTGAGGCGACTGACTCTGGGGGTGGTGGCTCAGGAATTCATGGCTGCCTTGACAACCATGGGGCTGTCCCAACATGCTGTTGGCCTGATTAATATCACAGGTCACACTCTGACTCTTGTCTTTTTGACCGGGCAGGAAGAGAGTGATCTGAAACTGGGAGATAATTGACCTCAGTCTGTTGTCCTGGTCAAATCACTTCCTGTTGAAATTAGGCTTTTTCAGCACCATTTCCCCTCTGCAGAGGTGGGGCACCCATGAGAATGGTCCACCCTCAGAGGCTGGAGGATTTTCCAGCTGATATGACTGGCACTTCTGTTGAAGCCCTGGTCAGGATCCCTCAGGATCCCTTTCCCACTTTGGGATGCCCATTTGGCCTGGTATAGTACTCTCAAGCTGTGCAGGTTACAGTTATCATTATCATAATCCTCATTAATATTGACTTAATGAAAACAACAAAAACATTAGTGTGTCCGTTGGGATAAACTGCTGCTTGTGCTACTTTTTTGTTGTTCTCCTGGAACTATTAGGCTGACTACGGGCCTGAGGACATCCACCCCAAAAGAACTGTCCCCTCAGCCTTTTATTCAGTTAAAGACCCTTCTGCAAAATGTCAACACAGAGACAGCAGGAATCATAATAATCCACAAGGATCCAGAATATGAAACGGAAAACAATTTTGGGTGGATCTGTAATGGCCTCAAATGTTTTGTCTTCATTTTTACGCTTGAACATAGACCCAAATTAAGAAGGGGACCCTCACTTCAGCATGGATCAAATGAAATGTCAGGGGGAAATGTTCAGAGCATCAACATTGAATTATTTTTTTAAAGTGTGATTTGTAAAGAATTTTATGAGGAATGTGTCAACCACCGAAAAAGAATAATTCAGCAGTACATAAAGATAAAAAAATCACAAGTGAAAAGAGTGAGAACTCTTCCCCTACACCAAAAAATAAAAAAGAAAGATAAAAGGTTCCATGGTTAATGTTAATTTTTCTGAGAGGATGGACTGACTGGAGATGGGATCAGTGGATGGGGGGAAAATGGAGGAAGCTGGACCTGAAGAGCAGCTTAAAAATTCACCTGGACTGCAGGAAGATTCATTGGTTTAGCGGGGAGGATGGAGAGGAAACAGGGATTTTGTTGAGATTACTTCAGCCCACCCCATTTGAAGCTTGAAGTTGGAAACAAGAAAGGGCAGCCTGGCCATTCTGTGGTGATGGTTAATAGTTTAGTTCCTGAGTCCAGGTCAGAGGCTCACCCTATTCATACACAAACATGCCCTTAAAACAGGATTTGCAAGCAAAGAGAAAATGAGAAGACTTTCCCCATTTGACTCCCTTCCTTCAGAATAATATTTGGGGTCATTGGGGGAGTCAAAATCGCTTCAGGATTGCTCTCCCGTAGTATTTTAGATACATGGTTCATATATTTAGATATGTGTGCATTTATGAATCTTTATTCTATATTTGAGACCTTAAAATTCACTGATAAAGGGCTAATTGAAAGCACCTGCTGTTAATAGGTGCCCCGTGGTGTGACTGGCAAATATCTGGATGCCATTTAGTTGATCTATGATTTGCAAAGGCCGTTTGCAGAGTTGGTTCCAGAGGTTATTGCACATTATCAGACGCGACGATTCTGTCAGTCCGACTCACTAAAAACTGGCACCGGGATGGAGGGCTGGGCTGCTTCTCCTCTGTATGTGGGGGCTGCTAACTAGAAAGGAGATGTCAATGGAGCAAGGCGGGGGGGCGGGGCGGGGCAATTCATTCATCATCTTGCAAAGTAGTCTGAGGCTGACATGCTGATAGTTAAACGACAACAACAATAAACTCCACCAGCTCTCGCAGGGAAATGGTTCCTTAAAAAACCAGCCACCAAAATGAGCATTCCATTTAAAAACATTTAAAATAAAATATATAAAACCATATATTTCCTCTATATCAGAGCGGCTTGGAGCTCCACCCAACTCCAAGGCAACAGAGACACCTGAATTTCCTGAAAGGAAACCCTCCCATTTGCTGACGCAAAAGAGAGAAAACGAAACCAGCTCTCTCTTCCTGGCGAGGCAGCAGCCATGGCAGCTTCTGGGGGTCCCGTCCGGGATCTCTGCGAGGAAGCCACTTGCCCCATCTGCCTGGAGTATTTCAGGGATCCAGTGATCATCCCGGAGTGCGGGCACAACTTCTGCCGATCCTGCCTGACCCAGTGCTGGGGGAAATCCGAGGGAGAGGCTTCCTGCCCTCAGTGCAGGAAAACAGTGGAGCAAGGCAGCATCAGGAGAAACCAGCAGCTGGCAAATTTTGTAGAAATAATTAAGAAATTCAGCCTTCTGGGCAGAAAAGAGGAGGGAGAAGGAAAAGGAAGGGTCTGTGAGAAGCACCAGGAGCCCCTGAAGCTCTTCTGCCAGGAGGACCAAAGCCCCATCTGTGTGGTGTGTGACAGATCCAAGGAGCACAAAAGCCACGAGGTGGTTCCTCTGGAGGAGGCGTCCCAGGAGTACAAGGTGGGAAATGGCAGTGGGTCTTTCTTGGGGGTGGAAGAGCTGCAGACTAGAGGGGCTTGTAGTAGTAGTAGTAGTAGTAATAATAATAATAATAATAATAATAATAATAATAATATTGTAGTGTATTCTCTCCACTTGGAGCCCAAAGGGAATTCTTGTGCAGCCTGATAAAACTAACTTCTGAAACTTTATACAATAAACATTTATTTTTCTTTTTGAGGGATTAAAGTGTGCCCAGTGACCCCCTGAATGCAGGCTGCAGTAACTCCCCTGGGAGGAAAGATTGCAACATCTAGCATTAATTTAATAAAAAGGAGGAGGGAGATGTTGGAGGTGTGCTCAGTGTGGGGGATTAATAATAATAATAATAATAATAATAATAATAATTTATTATTTATACCCCGCCCATCTGGCTGAGTTTCCCCAGCCACTCTGGGCAGCTCCCAATCAGTGTTAAAAACAGTAACGTGTTACATATTAAAAACTTCCCTGAACAGGGCTGCCTTAAGATGTCTTCTGAATGTCAGGTAATTATTTATCTCTTTGGCATCTGATGGGAGGGCGTTCCACAGGGCGGGCGCCACTACCGAGAAGGCCCTCTGTCTGGTTCCCTGTAGCCTCACTTCTGCAGCGAGGAACCGCCAGAAGGCCCTTGGTGCTGGACCTGAGTGTCCGGGCAGAACGATGGGGGTGGAGATGCTCCTTCAGGTATACAGGACCGAGGTCGTTTAGGGCTTTAAAGGTCAGCACCAACATTTTGAATCGTGCTCGGAAACGTACTGGGAGCCAATGCAGATCTCTCAAAATAGCAAACCCCCCATGTTTCTCAGCTCTGATATAGGGCAGCCCCATTTCTGCCTCCTCTGGGATGAAAAAGGGGAACCTCTGCAAAAGACCCAGGGATGTGGGGCAGGGAGCAAACATACGATTCAGCTTCCCTGTTAATGTGTAATGCAGCCCAACTTGGATTCTGTTTCTTTTCAGGATCAGATCAGCAGCTGCCTAGACAATGTGAGGAAGGAGAGAGAGAAAATTCTAGTATTTAAAGCAGACACAGAAAAGGAAATCCAGGACCTGCTTGTAAGCACCATTGTTACTGTTTTAAGGTGAAAAATGCTATAGTCTAAAATCAATATGGGTGGGAGGGGCGGAAATGAATATGGAATACAGAAAGAGGTTTATTTTTGAATGGCCTGATCTCCTACAGAGCATGAAAGGCCATTTAAAGGTGAGGGTGGGCTTGTAAGTTTTTATGAAGCTCTTTCTCTGCTGAATATGTCAGAAGTGGCTTTCCAGTGGAATTTGGATAACTGGCCTCTTCATCCTGCAAGAGCAGACTAGATGCCTGATCTTGGCCCACTCTTCTCTTCTTTCAATCTCTTTGCTGCAGAAACAAACAGGTGCAGAGAGGGAAAAGATGGTGGCTGAGTTCAGGCGACTGCACCAGTTTCTGGAAGAAAAAGAGAAGCTTTTTCTGGCCCAGATGGCAGAAGTGGAGAAGGAGATTGCAGCCCAAAGGGAGGATCACCTGGCCAGACTATCCAGGGAACTCTCCTCTCTTGACAGCCTCATCCGGGAGATGGAGGAGAAGCTTCAGGAACCAGAGAGTGAACTCCTGCAGGTGAGGCCTCATCCTGATGTGAGAGGGTGGAATGTGCTGCTTCAAACCACAGGCATTCCTTAGTCACATAAAATTGTTGCTGGAAGGAAAACAGTACATGAAGGGTGAAAGGCGTCAGTCCTGGGGTTGCAAAAGGGGCCTTGCTAGATGAAACCACAGGCCCCTTCATTCTAGCATCATGTTCTCTCATTGGCCAACCAGAGGTCTCTGAGAAGCCTAAAAAACAGTAGTGCTCTCCAAACCTGTGATCCCCAGCAGTTGCCACTCAGCTGCTTAGTATTTATAACTGACTGCAGAAATGGCTCCACTGACATCTTTCTTTCTTTCCTTCCAGGATATTGGAAGCTTCTTGCAGAGGTAAGTGATGGAAAACCCCTGCCTTATTCTGATGCTAGGAAAGTTCCTGCTTAACAAGTGAGAACCTCACTCTCCAGTTTCTCCTTCCAGAGATAGCTTAGGACTTCATCGTCAATTTCACAAAATCACAGACAAAAATAGGGACACGTTTTTGTGGTAATTTGTCGCTATTGATCCCATCTATGTACAATCACAGACAGGAAGCCATTCCCATTGCATATTTCTGGAGGCCCTTCTCTGTGATGGAATCATTTACTCTGCAATTGATACAAAAAGGGGGGACATCCCAAAGGGGCTTGTAAATATCTTCACTATAACTTACCCTTAAATATCCAGTGTCTTTCTGGCTCCTGCAGGTTCTTCCTCAGACATAAGAATGTGATAAAGGGCCCTGCTGGATGAGGCCAGCGGCCCATCTAGTCCAGCATTTTGTTTTCACAGTGCCTAACCAGATGCCAGTGTGAAATCCGCGGTTATCAGGATCCGAGTCCAAACAACTTTAGACACTCATGAATTTTGAGAATCTTCCATTTTGAAAATCTAACCACTGTGCTAAAATACATTTATAATGTTAATTGCAAAAGCCATTCTAAAGCATTCTGAACTTCCTTATATTTCAGAAATGCACATACCAAATCTATTTTCTTTGCTCATTAATCACTTTAAATGCATCACTAACACTAGTGCAGTCCTAAAATCTCTGCATAGGGACCCAGTACTGTTTTTTCTTCAAAAAAATAATTTGCATATATCAGCTTCTTTACCTTCAATCTCATATTCATATATTTCCTTCAGTATATTTTGGAAGCAGGTGTGTCGGTTTTCCTTCAGCTTCTTAGGTGCTCTCTAGATGCTCCTTTTTGCCATAGGAAAACCCTGCTCCCAAGTCTTCATGATATTTCCATGGTGCCTTTATCATCAGGATGAGACGTCTGCCTTGTCAGAAAGCTCCTTGCATTGGAAAGATGGTGGCTTGACTTTGTTCTTCTCCTCCCAGGTCTCAGGAGAAGGAGAACTTAGAGGATCCTCCTGTGGCTTTTCCTCCTGCCCTGAAGTGGAAGATCTGGGACTTCAGAGATATAAATCCCTTCCTGGAGGGAGTCATGAAAAAATTCAGAGGTAGTAAAGAAGGACTGAAAGTATTGTTAGCTGGATGTTTAGAAGTGTTCATAACAAGCTTCAGGTCATAGGGAATATTAGCCAAGCCAGGAAAATAGAAGGTCGAAACAACATGGCGCCGAGGTAAGACGTGCTTGCCGGTGCTCTTCGGACTTCTTTTAATCTTCTTTTAATCTTTTATATTTTTATCTTAACTGACTCAGTCAGTTTTTGAGGTATTTTATAATTGCTGCAGCCGCATGCTATGGAAACTCTCTGAGAGATTTGGCCCTGCTCCAGACTGCTGTAAGCTGCTCTTTGTTTCTCTCGTATCAGCGGGCCGGCTTTAGCTGCTAAAAGAGTTGAGAACGCCATTATCTTAATTGCGTGTCAAGTGTTATGAGGAAAAGCATGGGTCAGAAAAAACGCTTGAGAGACTTTGACGAGCCCCTATCATCCCCTAAACCAAAACTATCAAGGTTGGTGCCACACCGGAATGGAGGAGGGAGTGACCATGCCGAGCAGTGCTTTGCAGTGGAAACCCAAAATCGCTTCCTACCTCTAATTGATTTAGAAGCTACTCCAATTCCGATGACTCAAAATGTTTCAAAAGTAAAGCCTGTAAAGGAGAATACGAAAGAAAAACTCTCATCACAGGAAGATGGTTTGGCATCTGTTATGGGGGAGTTCCCCGGTTGTGAGCAGTTACACTTAGTAATTAAGACCCTTCACTGTATTTTTAAAAGGCTGGACGAGGTATCTTCACAATTATCCAATATCCTGATGAAAATCGAAAAACTTGAATCAACAACACAATCTTCAGTTTGTGAGGTGAAAAACTTATTGCCTCACCCCAATTCAGATAAAATAAAGGAGACTAAAATGAAATATATCTTAAATTCCCAATTGAACAATCAGATATTAACTCTGCAACCCAAGAAAAGTTGCCTTTCTGTCAGGTCGGAAATAGGAAGATGGTCAACGCTAGAAGGGGCTAAAGACTGTTCAAGCAAACTTTTAAAAATTAAGAAACATCAGATTGACCTATATGCTGTGATGCTCCTTCCCCGGCAGACCAACTTCTTGAAGGTGATACTTGCGTTCCACTCTGAAAAGATACCATCTATTACTGTTAGGAGGAAAACGCTTTGTCCATGGCCGACATTGTAGCAACGAGGGTTTTTTACAGACAGCAAGATCAAACCCCTTCTAAATAGGTGCCCTGGCGGTGAGGACATTAGGACAAGAGACTTTGCCTTACTTCAAAATACTGTCAGGCCCAACCGCGATGACTCTGCAGCGTGCCATCCTCGACCAAACTCGATACCTTCTCAAACAGCCATATATGAGGACGATAACCTGCGGACTGCCCTTGACGAAAGGGAACTTATTGATTCATTCAGAGCCCTCCCTCCGAAAGAACAGTCGGTGATGATGCAAAGATTTGACACGCTTAAATCTCAGCTTTTGCAAGTCCTACATAGAGGGGAAGATACTAATGATGTCTCAAATAATCCCACTTGGGCTCACCGGACAGAAGTGGTCGACCTTCTTCAGCTCAGCCCCACTCTGAAATCAAAAACCATCCGACAAGACTCAAATCTTCAAGTTGTTTCTGCCCCGTGCGCTACATCACGAGACGACCAGGCTCTGCCATCCTCACTGAACTTTCATCTATATTCATCGACCAACATACCTAAGGACGAAATTCTGATTTCCCTGCTTGACTCAAATCCCTCTTTAACTCACTCATCTATGCCAGAGCTAGAATCTTCTCCAGTTTCGACCAGAGATAGAAGTAGTTCACAAGTGATGCCCCTGAGAGAGTCTTCCACAATTCCCACCCCCGTGATGCCCCCTCAATTACCTCCTTCAAAGGAAACTGCGAATGTTACACCTCGGGACCCGCCGTCGGAAATGATTGAAGACCCGATGGGACGCATCAATAAAATCATCCGAATGTCGGATGATAAATCTGCGAGAGGGTTTACTCCGACGGACTCAATTTCCCCCTCCCTGGGTATTTCTCTGTCAAGTTGTACCAAGAATTTCGAAATGAAGAGACTTCCTGTTCAGGGATCTACTCTCAGTGGATCATCCACGGTGTGCCAACAGTCGAACCAAATTGTTAAAAACTTTAATTTGGAGGGCTCCTCACAGTTACCATCTTCCCAAAGTAAAATAACTGACTTTTTTGTTACATCTTCTGTCTTTAACAGAGAGTCTGCCCCCCCTCCGTTTTGACTGTTAAAAGAGACAAAATGTCCCTCACCTCTACTACTATCCTGGAACGTTGCTGGATGGCAATCGAAAACAATGGACAAAGACGTTCTATCCTATGTATCACAGTTCAAGATCATCCTGCTCCAAGAAACCTGGATGCAAAATCCTTTTGAACTACACAATTATTTTGCTTTCCATTCCTGTGCCTCAATCGGCCCAAAAGGCGGAAGACCGGCGGGAGGTCTGAGCACCTTCGTATCGACAGATCTAGGAACCTCTCCTATCCAATTGAAAATCGATAAAAAATGGATTTTGGCTGTTAAAATATTCTCTACCCACTTTAAGATCATATGCATCAGTGTTTATATTCACCCACTTATGAAACAAACTGATCTGAAAAACATCTGGAACGAACTGGAAGACTGCATTCTCCTTGTCTCAAATAAGTTTCCCTCTGCCTCCTTAATTATTGGTGGGGATTTTAATGCAAGGTTAGGCCACTCAGACGAACAGTTAATCAACGAAAGTGGAATAGGTCCCCTAAATGCTAATGATGAACATTGGCCCCTATTCAGGCGTCACTCACTTGACCCAGTTACCAATTTTGCTGGTACATGTCTTTTTTTAATGGCACTTAGATTAAACCTTGTTATCTTAAACGGCCTCTCCTCGGGAGACTGCCCTGGCCAATTTACTTATTGGTCAGGCTTAAGGCATTCTGTTATTGACTACATCCTTGTCTCCCAAGAACTCTTTGATGAATATATTGAATTTACTGTAGATATAAGAACCGAAAGTGACCATTTACCCCTAAATCTTAAAAGGACTGAATTCTGGGAACCCTCTAGATGTGGGCTTGCCCCACAGGCACCTGATCCTAATGCTTTACAACAAATAGGCAGATCCAGAATTAAATGGTCCCCTTATGTTAATAACAATTTTAGCATTTGGACACAATCAATGGAAGGTCAACTCCTCTGGGCTGATCTGACTTCCAACGACACTGAAGAGACCTCCCCAATTGACCATTATAACACATTAATCCGAAAACTCCAACCGTTATTGTCAAGACCCAGGAGATCTAACCAAAATGAGTCCCCTACCAACAAAAAATGGTTTGACCACGAATGCACTCAGGCAAAACTTATACGCAGGGAATGCTTTAAGGTCTTCCAGCAAAATCCTAACCCTATCACTAAATTAGACTTACAACTTAAAAAAAAGAACTACAAAGAGTTACTAAAAACCAAAAAAAGAACCGCAGACTCTCTCATCTGGCAGGCCCTCACAAAAGCGTCAATAGAAAAAGACAATACCAACTTCTGGAAAATTATCTCCAGTCAAACCAAAGCTCCTAATGAGGGCACAATAATCCCTGCAAATTCATGGGAAGAGCACTATAAAGTGCTGTTTAGGGAACATCGTCCTTCTGCGCCGCTTAACATCCCCTTAGATAATGATACACCATGGCCCCCAACATCTGAAACTGAAATCACTTCGCTAATTCTACAAATGAAATCTGGCAAAGCCCCAGGAAGTGATTTCATCGTCGCTGAACTTCTGAAAGCGCAAATAAACTGGTGGGCCCCGGTCCTTGCAAATCTATTCTCATATATAGATAAGACAACTGAAATCCCTAAAGATTGGGGACTAGCTATAATTGTTCCTATATTTAAAAAGGGCAACCCCTCTGGCCCATCTAATTATAGACCAATTAGTCTTCTGAATGTGATCTGTAAACTTTATACAAAACATCTATGCCTAAAATTATGTGAATGGTTAGATCATAATAACTTGCTAGAAATCGAACAAGCAGGGTTTACATCTGGACGTTCCACCATTGATCACTGCTTAGTGTTAGATTACTTTGTCTATAAGTATGTGAAACATTGGAAAAATTCATTGTATGCGGCCTTTGTGGACCTAAAGGCAGCATTTGATTCTGTATCCAGGAGTAGGCTCTGGGCCAAATTGGCCAATATGGGTATTAACAGAAGGTTACTACTTCTGATGATTAAGCTTCATGAGAACAATACCCTCCAGATAAGACTCACACAGGACGGCAGACTCTCTAGAGAAATCCCAGTCCAAAGAGGAGTTAGACAAGGATGCCTATTAGCCCCATTTTTATTCAACATCTATGTTAACTCCCTGGTCACATGCTGCCGTGAAATCGAAACCCCCCCCCCCCCCCGTGTTCTCTAACGGCAGAAAAGTACCAGTTTTAATGTATGCGGATGACGCTGTTCTTCTCTCTCAAACCAAAGTGGGTCTGAAACGTGCCTTAGGAAAGTTTAGTGACCAATGTAACACTGAACTGTTAACAATTAACTTTGCCAAAACTAAAATTGTACATTTTAACCGCTCCTTCAGGAAAGATAATTTGAGTGTAAAGGGAAACGCCATTGAACAGACTAAGACCTTCCAATACTTAGGCATTACTTTCTCTTATAATGCCAAATTCTCAGCACACTTGACCACATCAGCTATATCAGCAGGAAGAAGTGCAAATGCTATCCTTAGATTATTCAGAAGGAAAGGAGCTGGCTTCCTCCCGATGGCCCTAACAGTTTTTCAGGCAAAATCTTTAGCCCAACTCCTATATGGCTCTCAAATTAGCCTCTCTGTCAACCTTAAGACCCTTGAAACAGTACAATCTAAATTCTTAAGATCATTATTCGCTACCCCTAAGTGTACACCTAATGCAGTCTTAAGGCAAGAGGCAGGACTGCCCAGAGTGGAATTAAAAGTCTGGGAGCAAGCAATATCCCTCTGGCTGAAAATCCATTACAATCCTAAGGGACGGTTACCTTGCTTCCTGGCCGCAGTTCCCTATCCTCCTTGGCTTATGCAAATAACTAACAAGATCAAACAAATTGGCCTAAACCCTGAAAATCTTTTTATTGGAACTCTGAATAAGGCAAAAGCAATTATCACTCAGAGACCTTACGATGTCGAATTACAACAAGAAGGCGCCCTACTCCCGGAGACGTATAGATGTTTAAAAGCTTGCCCTAATTTTGCAGCTGCCCCTTACTTAACTAACATCACTAACGGAGCTTATAGATGGGCTTTCTCTAGAGCCCGCTTTGAGACAATGCCCTCAGCAGTCCTGTACGGCAAATTCACGTGGGTACCAATGCATGCGCGTCTCTGCTCCTGTATGTCTAATAAGGTAGAATCTGTCACACACATTCTTTTATTTTGCGAATTTTATAGTGAAGAACGAGCTCAACTTATTTTGCAGCTTTTATCAAAATTTATACCCTACAACATTATTTGGAATCCTCCCCCGAAATTCTACGGAAATACCTCCTGGAAGATTCCTCAAGCGCAATATCATATGAGGTGGCCAAATTTTGCACTTTAGTAATTAGGAAGCGTAAATCTCTGTTGAATGGCACACTGCGAAGTTCCCTTGTGTAATCTTTTTCTTTTCTGATGTTGTTGTTGATTTCTTGTTGTTTGATCTTGTGTTTAGTGTTACTGGCTTTTGCCGCAATAAAACTCGAACTTGAGTGTGAAAATAGAAGGTTTATCTATTCTCTTTCACTATCTAGGAGCCGCACTTTCCTATGTAGATGACTCACAACTGATTTTTCTTATGCAATTGAAAGGGGATGGTAAACCCTTCTTGCTGGACTCTGGAAACTCTTGTGAGATCTTGGGGAAGCCTGGCGGGCACACAAATCGCTTTTAAGACCTCTACCATGATTACGAGGCTCTGAGAGTCTCCTGCGAGATCTCATGGGGCCATCTTGAGATTGCAGATGGCAGGGGTGAATCCGGGGGTCATTCTGACTTTCCTCGATTTGCCTTTTTGCACAATCGCCAAGGATGTAACCCTCCCTTAAGCCGCGAGTTGTCTGTAAAAATTTGTACTTGACGTCTTCACATCTCTTAGCCATGCTTTGGGTGCTTTCACACATCTCAACCATTTCCCAGCTAGCCTCGCCTACAGCTTTTTGGGCATATCTTCTGTTCCTTTGCCCCTGAGATTAACGTAAGGGGGGGGGCAGGAGGAGGAAAGGAGGGGGGCTGTCCAAGAACCAGCCAGGAGCAGAGGGGTTGAGGCCTCCTGTCCTGGAACAGGAATGTCTGGATCTTGTTGCTGATGGGGGGATCTTCTGGGGGTCCTGCTCCTCCTCCCAAGATTTGGGTAAGTCTGAACCTTGACATCACCCCTGCCCTGGTTCTGCAGGGATAGCCAGCATGGAGAGTTTCATTTTAAGGTAGGTTTCACGTAGTTTCAGGTAGGTTTAACTGCCAACTCCCATAATCTCCAGCTGGCATGGCCAAGTAGTCCACAACACCTGGCTACAATCTCATGAGCTCATATTGTTTTTCCAGGTTTGTTATCTGAATGATGGTGTGATGCTAAATTTCTGTTCCCTTTTCTCTTCCAGACACTGTGGAATATGGACTTCAGCTGCGAAAAGGTACTTTTAATCATCATAATAATAATAATTTATTATTTATACCCCACTCATCTGGCTGGGTTTCCCCTTCCATTTCCCCAGGCACAAATTCGGGAGAGAGGGGATCCGCTTCTCAAAAGACCAGGCCACTGCAGCTCTTCCATCCATGCCTTATTTCCCAGAGGCATCTGTTCCGTGAGAGCAGCTTGCTGGGCTAGAGGGGCTCTTGGCCTGATCCTGCAGACTCTTAGGAAGCCCCCAGCCCAGGATGGCTGGCTTTTCTGTGCCGAATCTCACTAAGACACAGGGGTGGTGTGAAGCCAAAGGCTCCCGGCACATGAGGGGGAAATATCCCTTTGAGCCATACAGGATCCCCACCCCTTTTATGTAAGAGTAAGGTGTAAGAGTGGGAAATGTATGAACACATAATAGCTCAAAAGTGGCTGCAACTACCTTTGGGCATGAGAAGGTGAATGGGTTCTGGTGTCAGTGGAGGGAGCTGGGGGCTGCCTGAGTGTGAACTCCAGGGGTCCGACTTCCCTGCAAGATGGGGGTCTTCCCTCAGCTTTTGTATTGAAAGGGAGACATGAGATGATGGTGGACTAGAGAAACCTGAGTAAACTTAAAAGAGCAGGACAGTATTTCACCACAGAACGTGGAAAAAGGCTCAGTGGGAAGACAGAAGTCCAGTCCGGCCTGATCCTGGACACCACAAAAAGGGAATCGTAAGAGCTGGAAATGGTGCAGCAGATGGCAGCATAAAGGGAACTCTTACTTGTCTAAAAGAATCCCAGAATATAATTTTAAATATAACAGCAGTGAGTAAAATGCATAAAGCCTTATAAATACAACACTGAACTAGAAAAACCCATTATGTTTAACAAAAAAAAATTTGACTGATAGCACTGTCAACATCCAATGTCACATTTAATTTCCAAAGGCCTCTGTACAAATGTGTGTCTTTAAAAAGAAATCGCTTGACTCACTTTCCTTAACATGGCAGGGGGGGGGGGGGAGGACTGCAGAGCAGATCTTCTTTCTAATGTCCATTAGCCTGACCAATTTTTAATTTTTTTTAAAAAAATCAATTATAATAATAGCATCGTTATAACAATACCAATTTATAATACAATTCTAATGTAAATCACTCAAATATCAAATTATATAACTTATTTAAGGTGCTAGAATTGATAATTTTCTTTGTTTCTGTGTTCTAAAATCTTATCGATTTCAATGACATTCCAGTCATCATCATAATCCCTTATACAACAGCTGCAATATTTATAACTTCTATTCATGTTGACACATTAAATGAGCACTTTTAAAATGAATTTCTCATGAAGCTTCCACTCCATAAATGTGAGTCATACAGCCAATCAGGTCTGTGGAGCCAGGATGGGGTCTTTGCATTGAAGGTGGGTTGCATTGAAGGTGGCAATTTAAAGGGTGGGAATGGCACTTCCTAGATTTTACTGGGTTTGGCTTTAATAAAGGCCTCTTATCTTGGGATTGCAACAATAAATGCATTAAAACAAGTCATAGCGAAAGGAAGCAACTATGTAATAGATGTCAATTTAAAGGGCAGAACTATCAATTTTCTGCAATGCTCTAACCAAACACAAGAGATAATCATGTTTGTTCTTGCTTGACCGCTCCTGTCAAGAATCCCGAGCCGGACATTTTAGACAGGGAGTGTCAATCAGAGCACAGAAATACTTTTTTGGGTACTGTTGTTCTTTTTATAATCTGTCTGGAAGGATGGGCTATAACATTACATTTAATATGTAACTGAAACGTGAATGGTGGTTTCAAGGAGGGTGAGAGCACCTGCTGCCAGTTTTACCTGTCCTGTCAAGCATGGTCTGCCATGTGATGTGAGGTAAAAGATTGATGTGAATTAGGGAGTCCCTGCTTGGACTCCCTTCTGCCATGAACTGTGGGGGGTGGGGCTGGCCTTAGACAAGCCACTGTCTCTCAGCCTTAGTCCTCCCATCTGAAAAATGGGCATGCTCAGATTGACTTAACTTACAGGGTTGTTGCAAGGGTTCTATGTAGATAATGTGTATTAAGTTCTTCAAATCCTTGAAATAGTAGTAGTAGTAGTAGTAACAACAACAACAACAACAAATTTATTTATACCCACAACAACAACAAATTTATTTATACCCTGCCATCCCTGGCCAAGACTGGGCTCAGGGCGGCTAACACCAAATAGAATACATTAAAAACAGAAAATGAAATGATTGATTAAAATACAGTTCAAAATCACATATGAAATCAGAATAAAATTAAGTGGAAACCCACGAATCACAAACCGTAGGGGTAAGGAAAGAACTGCAAATGTTTCAAGAATCATTATTAAGAACTTGATGAACATCCCTGTCTCAAATGCAGAGCCATGGAGTCTCTGTTCATTTCAGAGCGGGTGCTATTTCTGTCATGTGCCTAAAAAAGCTTCCCAGTTGACGTTGTTTCTCTTCTCTTTCTGCCCCCACAGAAAACGTAACTTTGGATCCAGACACAGCAAATCCCTGGCTCATCCTGTCTGAGGATCGAAAAAGTGTGAGACGGGGAGAAGTGCATCAAGACCTGCCAAACAGCCCTGAGAGATTTGAAGCACATCTTTATGTGCTGGGATGTGAGGCGTTCAAGGAAGGCAGACCTTTCTGGGAAGTGGCTGTGGGGAGTGAGGAGGAATGGGCCGTGGGGGTGGCCAGTGAGTCTGTGAAGAGGAAAGGCGAGTTCATCGCTGGTCCTACAGAAGGGATCTGGCGCATAGGGAAGTGGAGTGATCAATATAGGGTCTCCACCCGCAATGGGCCCCCTGTTTCGATTCTGGGTGGGGAGCCCAAGAGGATCCGAGTGGCCCTGAACTGTGAAGGGGGACGGGTGTCCTTTTACGATGCTGATACAGCAGTCCTCCTCCACTCATTCTCAGAAGCCTCCTTCTCAGGAGAGACCCTCCAGCCCTTCTTTTACATAAGCAGGAAAGCGAACTTGAGACTCTCTTGACAGAGAGTCTACAGAGGAGAAAGGTCAAGATCTCTGGCTTCAGACAAGTGGGGGGCATTTTGGGTGGTGTTCCTGACTTACACTATATTGCCTTTGCATGCTGACGCCAGAAGTGTAACCCTCACGTAGGTTTTGGGGCTCGGTGTAACAAAATCCCAACAGTGAAGAGCCTCTGTGAGACGTTTTGAGGAGAGTACAGTGACAATCTAGAGGGTTTCAGGGTTTGTGTGTTAAATTCCCATGTATACAATTATTTTCTCCAAGGTGCTTTGTAGCAAAGAGTCAGATACTTACCTGTATTTTTAGAAATCCCCTCTTCTTACCCTTTTGTATAACTGGCCTGTAAGAATTTGGGGATATGTTTCCTGTGCTAACATGTTTGATTCTACTAAAGATTGTACTTCTTGTTGCTCCTGTGTTCTTTCAAACTGAATAGTATAATATCCATTCCTCATGACACTTCCTCCAGGGGTTTTAGGAGGGTGATATCCTGTTTTATCCTCAGAGAAGCCCTGTGAGGTAGAAGAGGCTAAGCAGAGAGACTTAGAAAAGAGAGACACATTAATGTTTATGGTCAAGGCACTCCTACCTCTGGTATGGTAAAATGAAAGTGCACAGAGGTTTTACAAACCATGTGATAAGGAGTGCCCTATATGAGGTCTGGGACAGAAATAAGAATCTGCTAGAAAGGAAAACACCGTGGTGGGTCTCACCAGTCGAAATGTTAACAGTAAAATTTGAATATGGAAGGGAGATGGGCTACATATAAGGAGATTTCGATGAAATCTAAGAAAGGATGGAAACTAAAGCCCTGTAATTGTATTGAGGAGAAATTGACAGGATGGCTGCAATACCATCAAGTAAATGATGTTTTAAGGATGACAAAAAAATAGGATTTGAAGATAAAAAATCAAAATTTCAGATTGACATTTTAGAAAGCAGGACCAAATTACTCTCGAAAATGTATAATTTCTTATTAGAATGGAATACAAAAGATGAATTGATAAAAGAGGCAATGGCAAAATGGGCAATAGATTTTGGACATAATGTAGAATATGATGCATGGGTGAAACTTTGGAATGAGAATTTAAAATTTACTGCATGCTCTACTTTAAAAGAGAATGTAATGAAAATGGTCTATCGCTGGTATCTAACACCTGTCAAACTAGCAAAAATGTATAGGATGAGTAGTAAAATCTGTTGGAAATGTAAAGAAAAGGATGGTGATTTTTACCACATGGTGGACGTGATAAAATGAAAGTGTTTTGGGAATTGATCTATAATGAATTAAAAAAGATGTTTAAATATACTTTCCCAAAAAAGCTTGAAGAATTATTGCTAGGATTGATGTTGTTGTTTAGTCGTGTCCGACTTTTCGTGACTGCGTGGACCAGAGCACGCCAGGCACTCCTGTCTTCCACTGCCTCCCGCAGTTTGGTCAGACTCATGCTGGTAGCTTCGAGAACACTGTCCAACCATCTCGTCCTCTGTCGTCCCCTTCTCCTTGTGCCCTCCATCTTTCCCAACATCAGGGTCTTTTCCAGGGAGTCTTCTCTTCTCATGAAGTGGCCAAAGTATTGGAGCCTCAGCTTCAGGACCTGTCCTTCCAGTGAGCACTCAGGGCTGATTTCCTTAAGAATGGAGAGGTTTGATCTTCTTGCAGTCCATGGGACTCTCAAGAGTCTCCTCCAGCACCATAATTCCAAAGCATCCATTCTTCGGCAATTAGCCTTCTTTATGGTCCAGCTCTCACTTCCATACATCACTACTGGGAAAACCATAGCTTTAACTATACGGACCTTTGTTGGCAAGGTGATGTCTCTGCTTTTTAAGATGCTGTCTAGGTTTTCATTGCTTTTCTCTCAAGAAGCAGGCGTCTTTTAATTTTATGACTGCTGTCACCATCTGCAGTGATCATGGAGCCCAAGAAAGTAAAATCTCTCACTGCCTCCTTTCTTGTTGCTCCTGTAAATGGGTTCTTGTGTCAGTGTCAGGGAGGTGGGGGCTGCCTGAGTGCCTGAGAGGTTGGGGGCGGGCCGTGTCATGAATACTTTAGTTGGGATCCCCGCATTGGGGGGTTGGACTAGATGACCCTTGGGGTCCCTTCCAGCTCTACAATTATACGATGCGCGTTCAAGAATCCCAAGTAGATCATTTCACACAGGGGTTGGGGAAGCCTGACCACTTTATTGCTTTTTATAAACTACCTGTAACTGAAACGTGAATGGTGGTTACAAGGAGGGTGAGAGCACCTGCTGCCAGTTTTACCTGGCCTGTCAAGCATGGTCTGGCATGTGATGTGAGGTAAATGATTAAGATGTGAATGAGAGAGTCCCTGCTTGGACTCCCTTCTGCCATGAACTGTGGGGGTGGGGCTGGCCTTAGACAAGCCACTGTCTCTCAGCCTCAGTCCCCCCATCTGAAAAATGGGCATACTAAGTTCGACTTAACTTACAGGGTTGTTGCATGGGTTCTATGTAGATAATGTGTGTTAAATACTTTGAACTCTTGAAAGAAATGCAAATGTTTCAAGAACCATTTTTAAGAACTTGATGGACATCCCTGTCTCCAATGCAGAGCCATGGAGTCCCTGTTCATTACAGAGGGGATGCTGTTTCTGTCATGTGCCTAAAAAAGAGTCAGCTTCCCAGTTGACGTCCTTTCTCTTCTCTTTCCTCATCTGCCCCCACAGAAAATGTAACTTTGGATCCAGACACAGCACATCCCCACCTCATCCTGTCTGAGGATCGAATGAGTATGAGACAGGGAGAAGTGTGTCAAGACCTGCCAAACGACCCTGAGAGATTTGACACATGCCCCTATGTGATGGGATGTGAGGATTTCACAGCAGGCAGACATTTCTGGGAGGATACTGTGGGGAGCGAGGGGGAATGGGCCCTGGGGGTGGCCAGAGAGTCTGTGAAGAGGAAAAGCAAGTTCATCGCTGGTCCTACGGAAGGTATCTGGGGCATAGGCAAGTGGAAGGACCAATACAGGGTCTCCAGCCGCAATGGGCCCCCTGTTTCGATTCTGGGTGGGGAGCCCAAGCGGATCTGAGTGGCCCTGAACTGTGAAGGGGGACGGGTGTCCTTTTACGATGCAGATACAGCAACACTCCTCCACTCATTCTCGGCAGCCTCCTTCTCAGGAGAGACCCTCCAGCCCTTGTTTTACATGAGCAAGAAAGAGAACGTGATACTCTATTGACTGAGGATGTAGACAGACAAGCGTATATTCATGGCCATCATGACACATTCAGTCTCCTCTTCAGGACTGAGCTGACGGGCACTTAAGGAGAAATCACATTTGCAGAACTGTGATTGGCCATCCCTTGTGTCAATCATGATGCAACTCTCCCTTCTCAGGCCAGCTTGGCAAATGACACTGATGGATTGGGTCCCCTGTCAGTCCCCAAACTTGCCTCTCTCCCTTGGGAATCAGCTGCTTCTGTCGGTGCAGGAGGTGAAAAGGGGGAAAGAAGCAAGAAAATGATTTAGGAAACAACAGCACCCCCTTCCCACATTTCTGTTTCGATATAGTTATCTCTCCATCCTCCAACTCTGACTTAAAATTTCTAGAGACAATACCATCATCTTTTCTGAATACAATCAAAATTATGCAAAGGGCATCACTTAAAATCTTCCTCAGCCTCAATCCTGCTCTCAGATTCCTTTTCCTCCCCCAAAACCTCCACTAGACATGGAGATGGAAGTTCCAAAGCCCCCTTTTTGAGACTACTGAGGGAAGCTTATGTGGTAATTCAGCAAAATATCCATATCCAAAGAGACCTGTTTTGGAGTGGAGTACAGTCGGCCCAAAATTCATGCACAACTTACATGATCACAGCTTAGAACCCTTCGTCGAACCACAAATTAATAAATAGAAAGAGGGAGAGAGACCGTGAAGAACTGTTGGAAGGGTCTGTGTGAGTCTCCAGAGCCCAGAAAGCAATGGCAGGGGGGCTTTGGCAGGGGGGGAAAGAGTTTCTAAGTCCACCTTGCTTACCGGCCTCTACAAAGGTTGCATAAAGCTCTCAAGATCTCTGGCTTCAAACAAGTAGGGATGGTTGCTTGGGGAGCATTTTGGGGGGTCTTCTTGACTTGCACAATATTGCCTTTGCATTCTGACCCCAGAAACGTAACCCCCCCCCACGCAGGTTTTGGGCCTTGATGTAACAAAATCCACTCTGACAGTGAAGAGCCTCTGTCAGAAGTTCTGAGGAGAGGACAGTGACAACCTAGAATATTTTAGGGGGGGTTGGTAAATTCCCATGTATACAATTATTTTCTCCAAGGTGCTTTGTATCAAACAATCAGATACTTACCTGTATTTCTACAGAGCCCCTCCTCTTATCCTGTCATATAACAGGCCTGAAAGAATTTGGGGATATGTTTCCTGTGCTAACATGTTTGATTCTATTAAAGATTGTACTACTTGCTGCTGCTTTGTTGTTTCAACAGTATAATATCATTCCCCATGACATTTCCTCCAGGGATTTTAGGAGGGTGATAATCCTGTTTTCTCTTCAGAGTAACGCTGTGAGATAGAAGAGGCTGAGCTGAGAGACACATTAATGTTTATGGTCAAAACTGATTTGAACCCGGGCCTTGTCATCCCAAGTCCAATGCACTGTGCACTCAGAAATCTTAACAAGGTCCCTTCAGAGATATGCTTGAAAGCCCTTCCTGCACAGTTCCTCTCCATATGTTGTAGCTCCTCTTCAGACCTTTCTGTGTCGACCCTGAATGTCTGCAGGAGGAGTCAATCCAGTTTGAGTGAGTGGAAGATTTCAGGGGCTTCTCTGCATAAACTCATATTTCGCACCTCGCTCCATTTCTTGATCTCAGCATTCCCATTAAAAATGAAAGCAAATCGCCCAAGTCCTAGAACGCTGAAGGTTGCCACTCATAACCTGAGCATTTCTCATAGCAATATTAGAATGGTTCTATAGAATAAGAAAGGGGAAAGGTGTACTTTTGGGAAGTAAGCTGACCTCTCTTGCTACACCATGTTTATATCCAGGATAGTCCCCCCCCCCCCCGCAAAAAAACCCCCACATTAAAATGCTGTAGAATATTAATCAGGCAATTGCCTGGTTGAAGAGGAGTGTTTTCGCCTGACACCTAAAAATATTTTCACATTTTTATTAGGAATGCCTATAAACCCCTGAAGAGTGCAATAATGCCATACTGGTAAACAACAAGTAAAAAAACAAGTAAAAAAAGAAATCGATCATAAAATACTGCCTGAGAAGAAACTCACAATTTTCAGAAAGAATGACAATAAAAGTTTTTCAATAAAAGTTCTCTTCCTCATAGGCAGATGGTAGATGGGATCAGTGGGGGAAAGCTAGGAGTTGTACAGCAGATTAAAAATCCACTAGCATCCATCCTATGTTATATGACTTCAGAAGCGACCTTTTCCCATCTTTTACACTACCATTCTTAACATTTTAAAAATACTGTACATATGAAAGAGGCTCTGAAGTCCAGCTACCTTCACACCTGCAGGTGGCAGAAGAGACCACGAGTCACCAGCTTCAATTTCCTGGAAAGGAAAACGCCCCCAGTTCTTGAATGGGCAAGAGAGAGAGAGAAATTTAACCCCCTCCCCACCACCCCATGGCTGCAACTGGGGGTCCCATCCATGAGGGCCTCTGCGAGGAAGACACTTGCGCCATCTGCCTGGAGTATTCAAGGGATTCAGAGATCATCCCTGATTGTGGGCACAACTTTTGCAGAGCCTGCCTGAGCCAGTTCTGGGGGGAGTGGGAAACTGGGGCCTCGTGTTCTGTCATCCTCAGACTTTCCACTTGATAAATGAGGACGATAAAAGTGTCTTAACATACAGGGTCCATGTAAGGATTCTGTGCAGATAATGTGCTTGAAGTGCTTTGAACACTTGAAAGAACAGGTGGTTTCAAGAATTATTACTGAGAACTTGTGGAGCATCCCGAACGCAGGGCATTGAGCGGGAATGAAATTTCTCTCATGGGTCTAAAGAAAAGTTCATCTCTGAGCTCCTGCTGTTTCTGTCCTCTTTCCTCATCTGCCCCCCAGAAAACGCAACTTTGGATCCTGCCTCATCCTGTCTGAGGATCAAGAGAGTGTGATAGATGCGGATCCAGATCTCCCCAACAATCCTGAGAGATTAGACACACATGTCCCCATGTGCTGGGGCAAGAGGGGTTCACAGTGGGCAGACATATCTGGGAGGTCATTGTAGGGAGTGAGAGGCATTGGGAGTAGGGGGTGCAGGAAGTCTCTGAGAAGGAAGGGCACGTTAGCTCCTTGTCCTGAGGATGGGATTTGGGAGGTGGGGAAATGGGAAGGAGAATAGGGCCCCTCCTTCCCTCCTGATGACCCTGCTCTGTCCTTGCGCGAAGAGCCCAAGAGGATCCGAGGGATCCTGAACTCTGAAGTGTCCTTCCACGATGCAGATCCAGCAGCCCTTCTCCATGCATTCCCAGCATCCACCTTCTCAGGAGAGACCCTCCAG